ACTTAGGTTTAGAAAAGAGACCCAGGCAAATACCTAAATGATTGTACTCAAGTGTTAAAATATGAAAAAGGTCTACACAGAGTAACAGCATGGTTTCAAAGAAGGGAGTGACAAGTTTTATTGCAGGGAAGAGATGGAGAATGACTACACAGAAAAGGTGATGCTTGAACTAAATTTTGACAGGGGAATTAGTGTTTGCTAGGTTGAGAAAGCATTGTAGGAAGCAAGAACAGTATAACTAAATGCCTGAAATAACAGGAAAATATGGAAACATTTATGTATAATGGAAGTAGATAGTGAAGCAGAGGTCAGCAATGATGAGACTAGAGAGGATGGCTAGCCTATAGACAGTCTCATATTTTATGCTAAGGAAGGGTTTTGACTATGCTGCTGTCTGGTGGGGACACAACAGAAAAAAGATTTAGTTCTTTGCATTGAAGAAGCTTATGTCTAGGGGAGTAGACATGTATTTGTGTTCGGTATGCTAAGTGTGTTTTGATGATAGTAACTACCCAGTGCTATGGGAGTATGAAGATAGAATACCACCTCAGTCTGGTGTGGGTCATAGAAATTTTCGTAGAAATGACAGTTGAGATGAGATTGAAATAATATGTAAGAGTTAGTCAAGTAGAAAGGAATTTTTCAAAGTTTATCCTAGCAGTACCATTAAAACTATATTAGAAGTTTGATACTTGAATAGAGAGGTTAATATAAAGATAATTTTTGTCCAACAATCCAAATAAGAAAAAGGCCAGAGCTAAAGCTATTGCATTGGGATGAAGAGGAGGGCAAGAGTATGAGAAATGTTAAGAGGTTGGAAACCAAAAGAGTTGGTGATTTATTAGTAATTGAATATGAGAGAGAAGGAATAATCTTGGGTAGCATTTTTATGGCTTAAGTGACTAAGCGGTGCTCTTTCCTGAGATAAGGATCAAAGGAGAAGTAGGTTTTGGAGACAGAAATAATGGTGAAGTAGAGCTTTCTAGTTCACATTTGAGTGTGTGTCTCATGCTCATTAGAGAAGCCTGAGCCACAAATGTAGATCAGTAGGTCATGGGCACACAGGCATAGATTAGAATGGTTGTGATCTTTCAGGAGAGTAAGAAGAGCAGCAAGCCAAAATAGTATACTAGGAGTGACAAAGATAAAGGAGCTAGCACACAATCTTAGATGAATCACTTAAGAGCTGTGAACATCAGTTCCTTTGTCAGCGAATTGGGAATTCTTAGAGTTAAAGGAAATAATGTATATCTAATTGATAAACATTTCAAATCTTTTTTGAAAAGTGATATTTTGAAGTTCTTATCAAAGAATATACAATCTTAATTTTTAAATATATTCTGTTGCTCTGAATTTTGAAAACAAATAGAAATCTTTATTTTCATAAAGCTTTTTTAAATGTAAGAAGTCATTTTTACAATAATGTTCTATTTATGCAGGTGGATGGAAAACACAGAAAGAAAAACTCAGTGTTTGAAAGACTTCAAATTGATATTCAACACTTGTGTTTGAGTAAGTTGTATAACTTTCCATTGCTCTACAAATATATCATAGTTGTTTCAAACTGAGGGTTGGTTAGAAATCCAATCATGCAGAACAGTGCTTCCGGGAAATGAGTAAAATCAATCCATTGTTAATATAGAATGTTTTATATAATGCTTAAATAGATATAAATTGAATTAAGGTTGAAAATTTTTTAAATTTTCAGTATCAAATGGAAATGAAGTATTAGGGAAGAGTTTAAAAGTTTTTATAATATGTACTTATGTTGTTTCTTTGTCCTGTTTAAATTAACATTGAGTCTGTTCAGACTACAAATTAGCCTTCTGCTTGCAATTAACATGACTTTACCTAAACCATTAAACAAAATGAGATAGTTCTCTGCCTAGCTAATAGGTAAAAGATACTTCCTAGAATTTTAAATTGTACAAAAGAAAAGAAGTCATCACTCTGGGATTCACATTCCTTACACAAAACACACACACGGACACACACACACGAACACTCCTCAATCAATCTCTGTATTGCCCTTTTTATACCTTTTCTATTTTTCAGATTATCCAAACAAAATTATGCAAGCATATCTTTGCAACCTCTTCCATTCACTAATTTTAATCCAACCATGAAAAGCAACCCAGCATTTGTATATAAATCACTGTATTTAAAATTATTTAACTGAATATATTAACTTCCTAATGTTATGAACCCTAAACAAGTTTGTATATTATATGTTGGGTTCCATAAAGTGAGAATTTTTTGTTTGAGTCTCTTTCAGGCTAAAATTCAGAGACCCTAATTAGTTATTTCTTTTGGAAAACCACATTAATATGTAACTTAATTCTCATTTCCATTTCAGACAAGATTCCTGTGCTAAGAGAAGGAAAACTACCTGTGGTAGGAATTGGAAAGCATCTGTGTGGTGTGGCGACAGGTATGTAAACATACTAATAATGTTTACATTCATGCATTAAGCTTTGGCCTAACCTGCCCCAACCATATCAGTGGTCTCTTTTGAATAGATGTCTTATGTTTACAATTCACTAATCTTTATAGAGCCCTGGCCCTGTGTTTTATTAGATGCATAGCATTCCTATGTATCTGCTCATTTTGGCCATTTTGCAGGATGAATTGAGAGTTTTGTATGTAAATACTGTATTACATTAGACCTAAAAGTTCTTTCTTTGGTCTATATCTCAACCAGAAAAAGAAAATCAAACCATTTATGGAAACTGTGTGATTCTACCCTGAAGCTACTGATTTTTTTAGAGAGTTGCTTAGAAAGAACTCAGAAACTTCTCCCTCTAGAAGACTATTGTGCTTCAGGATTCTGAGGGAAAAGAAAAAGTTAAATGAAAAAAAAAATATATAAGAGGTCTTAACACTTTGATCCATCAGGTTTAGCATGGTAAAGTGGAAACAGCATGTGCTTTGGAATCAGATAGTCTAGCTTTCAGCTCTGTTTCTTGTCAAATTACTTAATCTTTCTGAGCTTTGGTTCCCTCATCTATAAAACAGAGATATTAATATATTAATAATTTACTAGGTTGCATGTAAAATGTCTGGCACATAATAGTGTTCAATAAATGTTAATTATTGTTACATCATCTCCTAAAATTTGCTAGTTTCATCATCTACCCATATGGGTAACTTGGAACATCAATAGATATTATTCATAGTGGCTGGAAATGGCATTGAGTACTATATATTTGTGTTGGCCTTCATAGTTTTCAAGACTATAGTCATGTACCACATAACAATGATTTGGTAAACAATGGAATGCATGTATGACAGTGGTCCTGCAAAATTATATCATACTTTTACTGTATCTTTTCTGTAGATACACACTCACCTTTGTGTTACAGTTGCCTACAGTATTCAGTAACATGCTGTACAGGTTTGTAGCCTAGGAGCAGTAGGCTATGCCATATATCCTAGGTGTGTAGTAGGCTACACTACACCGTCTAGGTTTGTGTAGTACTCTCTGATGTTCCCACAATGATGAAATCACCAAATGCATTTCTCAAAACATATACCAGTGGTTAAACAATGCATGACTGTACTTTCACATACTTCGCCTCATAAAAAAGTCTAAAGTAAACCCACCCAGGAGGGAATACACTCTTTTGATCTACAGTGGCCATTTCTCATGTTCCACATAATTTTTTCCCCTGAGTCACTGTATCTGAATCTTCCTTTCATCTCTGCTGCAGTTACAATTCTGAAATTGTGTTTTACCCTTCTTGAGATTCTGTTTTCTTCTCTTTTGTGATACTTTTATTTCCTGGTTCTTCCCCTATATCTATGTCATTCCTTCTGTTTATTTCACAGTCTCCTTCCACTTCTGTCCTTTAAATGTTAATATTCAGGTCAGGCACAGTGGCTTATGCCTGGAAACCCAGCACTGGGTTTCCCTCTTTCCCTGCCTCCCTTCCTTCCTTCCTTCCTTCCTTCCTTCCTTCCTTCCACCCACTAAAATATAAATGTAGGTGAATAGTTTTTCTATACAAGTAATTTTCTCAGCTAAGGTAGAAGTGAGAGACAATTCAGTAATTGGGTAAAAGTTCTTCAAATTGTAGATCTTAAACTTCAGATAGTTTTATTGGGAAGTAGGCTTTATGCAAAATAAATCATTTAAAAAATTGAGAAGATAGTAAGAAAAGAGCAAATTTGAGCCAAGTTGATAATTCACAATAGAATTATTACAAATACAAATCTGAATAGGTTTTTGCTGTTTTTATTGTTGGGTTTTTAAAAACAGTACTGCTTAATAAATGTAAAAAATATTTATTTTTAAAGATGATGTGGTTGGGGGGGCCACATAATTGTGTTTGCAGATCTTGCATTACGATGTTTGGTTGAAACCTATGCTGCCAGTTTTGAGGAAAGGAATGAAGAACCTTTAGCCAAACGCATAAAGAATGATAAAACAGAAAAAGAAATTTACCCTTTGACCAAGGAAGGAAGTGAAAAAAATGTCCCAGAGAAGTGGAACCCTGTGGCTGGCATTGTTATTGCACTCTGTTGTCACCACAGGTGTGATTGGAGACATTATGTGGGCAAAGAATATTTCAGGGCTCTAGGCCTTGGAGCAGTGGAATTCCACTATTTCCAGCGAATGAGTAGTTGGGCAACTTGTGGGATGCGGAAAACATCTTTGGAAGACTCAAATATTACCACAAAGAGACAAGATAATCAGAATGATGATAGTGAAGAGCATGATGACGGAGGATACAGAATCACAGATGATGGTGCTGATAATTTGCCTGGGTAAGAGACTACTTTTGTAATGCAGGACACTAAAAGAGAAATATTGTATTATTACTGTACTTTATTTTTGGATGACTATTATCAACAATTCATGAAAATGTATTTTATCATCTAATTTTAGAATAAGCTAAAATATATATGTCTCTTATTGTGATCATAAATAAATGGGTTAGTTAACAGTCTCAATAAATAGAAGTGACAAAAATAATTTTTTATAAACTTTTGCAAAATCGTAACAATGTTTTGTGTGTGTTTATTCAATTTAGGCTTCTTAGTATTGAAGAAAAGAAGAAAACAGGGCATCTTTGTAAATTGCTGATTGACCAAGGTCGAATCCAGTATTTGCAGCAGAAGGGATTCAGTCCTGCTTTGCAGTACTATACAGACCCTCTGGTGTCTTTGGAAAATGTTTTGTTAACTGCTTTACCAGATCATTCTTCATCACCAGAAACAACTGCCTAATGGAAAAGAAATTTGAGCATCATTCGTCTTCCACCAAAAAAAGTTTTAAATTATATTTTTATATTCAAAAATATATACTTTAAATAGCAGATAATATGAACTTTAAAAAATGCTGTGGCCTCATTAAACTTTGGTAATAGCTTTTCTTTTTACTTCAGAAGTCCAAACATTAGAGAATTCACCAAAGTAATCCTCTTTAGAAGGGCATCTTGAATTATATTACCCATCCGTATTCATGGATATTGGTAAAGTAGTTGAACAGATGACTTGGTGATCTGAAACATACATAACATGTCAACACTTAATTAGCATATTAACTTTCTATTTACATTAATTTTGGAAATTTATTTTCCTTTGATTTTATTTAATATTTTTTATTTCTCAAGTTCAAGAGGTAGTGATCGATTGTTTGTAACAAGGGCGAATCTGAGAGTTTGGCTTATATGTGGACATTTTCCCCTACAGATCTGGAAAGTGCAATTGTGATTTTCTCAAATGCAAACCAATTCAGAGATGTTCACAATTAATTAATGAAGTCACCTTCCGATTTCCGTATATATTGTCAGAATCTGTCTATGACAAAAACAAAACTAAAGAGCTGTTTTCAAAGAATAAAGATTATTTCATTGGATAATTATCTAGTTAGAACTTCCAGAAAGATACCTACAAACATAATTCACAAATTAAATTTGAAATTTGAAATAACTTCTGAAGTGGATTGGCTATCTCATATTTTTAATCAGGTCATTTTTTTACTTATATAGGCACAAACAATAAGTATGTTCTCTTCTGTTTGAGAAAATAATTTGGAATAAAGTAGAAATTAGGTAATGAAACCAAAAACCTTCTTAAATTTAGGCCTTATTTAACTCATGACTGGTTTCTATGCACAAGCAAATATTAAACCAAACATATGGTAGGACTGTTATTCTCTTCTGCATCTTATCCCTATTTTGCGTCTGCTTTTATTTGTAAAAATTGTCTTAATTGTTGACACATTTGCCAAGACAAAGGTTCAGAATTACTAATTTTAGATATTACGATATTCTGAGATAACTATTTTTATTCTGTAGTTCTATGATCACATGATTTGTAAATAGAAGCCTAGCCAATTTAAAATTCCTGACTGTAGTCTAGTCTCATATGTCTTGTCAGACTGCCTAGGTTCAAATTCCAGCCCTACCATCTTTCCGTTGTGTGACCTTGGGAATGCTACTTAATCTCTTTGTGCCTCAATTTCCTCCTCTTAAAATGGGATGACGTTGATAACAATAATACCTACCTCACAAGGTTGTTGTGAGCATCAAATGAGATAACAAGCAAAATGCATAGAACAGTTCTAAGTACAGAGTAACTCAATAAATATTAACTAGTAATAGTAGTGGTAGTAATTCGTGAATCTATTTTTAATAACGTAATAGGCAGGCTTTGATTTTATCTCTTTGTTACCTTCTTTTCCCTTGTTATAAGTTTTACGTCAAATACTATTAAAGTAAGGTAGTTTGATTGTTTCTTAAGTTAGTTACTCATGTCCCCAATAAAGGGAACCTAAATGAAGATACTATATCATCAAATAACCTTTTTCTGTGCCAAGCACTACTAATTTGTGTCATAAAATTTGTTTTGCATCATTCAACAAATTATGCCCAGAAATAAAAGATATTCTGCAACAGGCATAATCTCATTTATGTTTCATAAAATATACGTACACACCTGACAATTATCATACAGAAACAGTTCTGTGGCTCATTTAGCTTAATGATATGTTTCTGACAATGGTATCAGGTACCTTAAGGGAAGCTAAGTTTGTCGTTCAACATGCCAGCCTTAGCTCAGGATTATTGTTTTCCTAACAGTTCATTTGTCTTCACATATGAGACAGTGACTGTGTGGGATATGCATACAGCTATTTCTTGACCTGCGGAGTATTCAGATTCAGCAAACTCCTTCTTGAACTTTAGTTTACCTACACAATTACTACATCTTGCATGTTCCACAAGTGCATCAAATTTACTGCTAAGGGCCAGGCACGGTGGCTCATGCCTGTAATCCCAGCATGTTGGGAGGCTGAGGCAGGTGGATCACCTGAGGTCAGGAGTTCCAAGACCAGCCTGACCAATACGGTGAAACCCCATCTCTACTAAAAATCCAAAATTAGCTGGGCATGGTGGTGCATACCTGTAATCCTAGCTACTCAGGAGGCTGAGGCAGGAGAATCGCTTGAACCCAGGAGGCAGAGGTTGCTAAGTGAGCGAAGATCGCACCATTGCACTCCAGCTTGGGCAACGAGAGAAATTCCTTTTCCAAAAAAAAAAAAAAAAAAGGGAAAAAAATTACTGCTAAAATTAGAAATTATCTTCTGCCACCACCTGATTCTACTCGCCAACCTATCTTCTGTACTTCCTTATCCATCTTAGCATCACCATCTATTCAGATGCTCTCTGAACTAAAAGCATTCCCTAGAAACTCCTCCCTTTTCTCATCTTAATTCAATTACCAATTCTGTCTCCTAATCATTTTTTCTATATTCTCTGCTTTCCAAAACTAGATCACAATTAGGACTTTTTTGGCTGTCTTCCCCCAGTCTGTCTCCATGTTATTGCTTCTGTGACCTTGCTACAAGAGATCTAATCACCATTTCCTAAGCATCCTCCACTAAATGTTAGTAAAAATTATTTCCTCTAGCTGAAAAACTCTGTCATTGTCATTGTCTTCTCAGTTATATTCATTTTTCAAACTAGTCGTTGCATTAAGTTGAACTAAAAATCTACCTTTTAAGTCAAAAACTCAACATTTTTAAATTATAAGACCATGATTTCTATGATTATTGTTCATTTTTTAAATAACAAATAATTGTGCACTTGTCCTCTTCCCTTGATCTTGGTTTAGCTTAAAGCTCTCCTTAATTAAAAAATAAAAGTAGTGTAATTCAAAATTATCAGAGACTAAGCAATTGAAATCTCTCTATCAAAACCTCACACTTTAACTGTTGATTGAAATCTGTTCTCAGCCAGATATGATGGCATGCACTGATATTCCAGTTACTCTGGAGGCTGAGATAGGATGACCTCTTGAGCCCAGGAGTTCAAGGCTACAGTGAGCTATGATTGTGTCTTTTTTTTTTTTTTTTTTTTTTTTTTTTAAATATGGGGTTTCACCATGATGGCGAGGCTGGTCTTGAATTCCTGACCTCAGGTGATCCACCCACCTCGGCCTCTTAAAGTGCTAGGATTACAGGCGTGAGCCACTGCACCCGGCCAATTGTGTCTTTTAATAGCCACTGCACTCCAGCCTGGGCTACATAGTAAGACCTCATCTCTTAAAAAACAAAACTACAACAAAAAACTTAATTTTTTTTTTTGCTACTTACAGAATGACAGGGGAGGTCAGTTCATGGTCACACTGCTATGTGTGACAAGCTGGTAGAATAAGGTGAATCACGTCTTTACTCACTTGGTTTTACTTCAGATGCTTAGCTAAAGGATTTATTTCCTTCCCCCACTTGAAAGACTTTGAGTATCTTTACAACCTCTCTCTTCGATTCACTTTTTTTCTTCCCATATTGACTAAGAGAACAGAATTTGGCAGAAAACTTAAGATGGAATGATAAATATATAAATAAATTAATCAAAAGGCAAAAATTAGTGATATACACACTACTCTGCCAAAAAGAACATTTGATCTGTGTTATATACAAATCTTATACCTGCTCTTCTCCGTGACTCCTGTATGTATGTGTGCATAAACTGAAGACCAAATAATTCCCGTTCCTCCTCTTCATCTGTGCCTTCATTGGGAGGAAGTGATACTTCCAATTTCAGTGGGTTGTCTCTGAAGTTGACAAACCTAGCAGTTTTGCATCAAAAAACAGTATTTTTATAGCTGTCATGGAAGTACACATCTGTTTCCCTGGAGAAAGGTCAAATGATAATATACTAAATTACTCTTTTTTTTTTAACTGGTTTCAATAACTGAACACCTTGGTGAGATGTGATATATCTCAGGAATCTTTATGTTTTTTTCCTAAGAGAAAAAAATACTAGCTTTAGACAACTTATTTTCAAAGATTACAAAAGCAACTATTACTCTAGTCACACAGGCTGGAGTGTAGTGGCATGATCTGGATTCATGGCACCCTCCACCTGCCGGGTTCCAGTGATTCTTGTGCCTCAGTCTCCCGAGTAGCCAGGACTAGAGGCACACACCATGGTGTCCAGCACATTTTTGTATTTTTAGTAGAGATTGGCCAGGCTGGTCTCGGACTCCTGGCCTCAAGTGATTACCTGCCTCAACCTCCTAAAGTGCTGAGATTACAGGTGTGCGCTGCTGCACCCGGCCTACAGGGTATATGTAATGCAGTACAGCTTAACTTCTAAGAGTAATGTTAACATCTTACATATAAAATTAGTGCTATGAACTTAGTTTCTGCATATTTATATACCTCCATCTTATTTATCATTGTGTCTTCACCACCTAGTTCAAGGCAGGTAGTTGTTGAATAAATGAATTACTTTGTTATGGAAGTTTTGGGTTTTAGTGGGTATTCTCTTTTCAATGTCAGAAAATTAAGCTTTGGAAGAAAAATACTTGAGAAAGCTCTCAAGATGGATTAAAATTTAAATGTCATATCTGAAACAGTAACAATCCTAGAAGAAACCCTAAGAAAAACTTCTGGACATTGGCCTAAATTCATTAGAATTTATGATGAAAACCTCAAAGGCAAATGAAACAAAACCAAAAATAGACAAATGACATTTAATTAGAAAAACTTCTGCACAGCACAAAAATTAATCAACAGAGTTAATAGACAACCTACAGAATGGGAGAAAATATTTGTAAATTAGGCATCTAACAAAGGACTAATATCCAGAATCTGCAAAGAACTCAACAAGAAAGAAACCAACCCCACAAGCAGGCAAAGGGCATGAACAGATGTTTCTCAGAAGACGTACAAGCAGCCAACGAACATGAAAAAATGTTCAACATTGCCAATCATCAGAGAAATGCAGGTTAAACACAATGAGATACCATCTCACATCTTTCAGAATGGTTACTCTTAAGAAATTAAAAAAACAACATGTTGGTGTGGATACAGAGAAAAGGGAACACACACTTGGTGGGAATGTAAATTAGGACAATTTCAATGGAAAACAGTATGGCAATTTCTCCAAGAACTAAAAATAGAAGTATCATTTGACCTACCAAACCTGCTGCCAGGTATGTACCCAAAAAAAAAAAAAAAAATCTTTATATTAAAAAGACACCTGTACTCTTATGTTTATCACAGCTCTGTTCACAACAGCAGTCATGGAATCAACCCAAGTGTCCCACATGGGATGATTGGATAAAGAAAATATAGTACACATGCACCATAGAATACTATGCAGCTATAAAAAGGAATGAAATCGTATCTTTTGTAGCAACATAGATGGAGTTGGAGGCCATTATCCTTAGTGAAATAACTCAGAAAATCGAATACCACATATTCTCACTTACAAGTGGGAGATAAACAGTGGGTACACATGGACATAAAGATGGATATAATGGACACTAGCAACTCCAAAAGCGGGGAGAGAGAGGGAGATAAGGGTTGAAAAATTACCTACTGGGTATGGTGTTCACTATTTAGGTGATGGATACACTACAAGTCCAAACCTCACCATTACACAGCATATATCCATGTAACAAACCTACACATGCAATCTAAAATAATTTTTAAAAGAAAAAATGCTTGAGAGGGTTTGATAGTACTTAGTAAAAAGTTATATCTAGGGGTGTGTGTGTGTGTTTTAAAGAGATAGTTCTCTGTTTCCCAGGCTGGTGTGCAGTGGTGCAATCTTGGTTCACTTCAACCTTGAAATCCTGGGCTCAAGCAATCCTCCAGGCTCAGCCTCCCTAGTAGCTGTTACTGGTATGCACCACCACTCCTAACTAATATATTTGCTTTCTATCAGTAACATAATGGTGTCCATTTGTATTTATTTAGGAAGAAAATAATCACTTTTACTCTTGATTTTTTTGTTGTGAACGAAGTTTTTTTAGCTGTATAATTTTCATGAAAATGTCACCAACAGAAGACGCTTCTTAAAGCTGATAAATCCCAAACTGCTTTAGTCTTAAAGATTCTTTCTTGAATAGTTTAGACCAGTGTTATATGAATCCTGTTCACAAATTATAGAATTTCAATATTGGAAAAGATTTTTTAAAATATCCATTCATATAAATAACTACTGAAATTTATTAATAATGATCTCTACTTTTTTCTGCAGCCAGAAAGAAACATGTCAGTTTTGTGCCTACAAGTTTTTACCTCAGACTTGCCATTTCTTCCATGCATACTGGAATATCTTGCAGTTTATTGTTGCTGAGAACAAGAGTACCCAGATTTTTCATATTGCTGATTGTTTCAGGCAAGCATGTTATATCATTTCGTTGCAGCCATAACGTATGTAGATTTTGCATTCTGAAAAAGTAAGGTTTCTGTGATTAATTACATATAATATGAAAATATTGGTTTTGGGTTTTTAAAAAAAATAATTTTAAGAGGCAGGGGTCTCATCATGCTGCCCAGGCTGGTCTTGAACACCTTAGCTCAGGCTATTCTCCTGCCTCAGGCTCCTCAAGTGCCGGGATTACAGGCATGAGTTACCGTACCCAGCCTTTGGTTCTTATGTTAAAAATCAAATATTGTCTTTTACAACATCGTTAGCCAGTATATTTATTGAGTTAACTGACATTACATTACCTGGTTATTAGAGAAACTACATCAGGAAGTTCATCTCTACAGTACAACTCTCATTTCATATGGCAGAAAAAATGAAATCAACATATTCCAGAATTGTTTCACTATTCTCCTAGGATTTCTTGAGGCAGAACTGCTGTAAATGTTACCTAATCTGAGTTAGAGTCTTAAAAGAGCAATCAAATGATTAATATGCCCATTTATAACAAAGCAGAATGCATAATACTTAACATTATGGACTCTGGGGTCTGGCTGCCTGGGTTCGAATCCTAGCTTGCCCACTTACTAACTTGAGCAAGTTAGCTAACATCTCTGTCATTAGTTTCTTCATCCACTTGTAAAGTGCATAGAAGTGCGTGGCATGTAATAAGCAACGTGGTTGTTGTGGCAAAATCTTGTTAATTTCTCAAGGTGAAACAGCCAGTTTTGGCCAGGAGTGATGGCTCATGCCTATAATCCCAGCACTTTGGGAGGCTGAGGCAGGTGGATCACTTGAAAAAAGCCAGTTTTTTTCCTCTTCCCATCCCTTTTAACTTACTTGGAACAAATGAACATATTCTGTTAAAACGGCGTATTTCAAACTACTTGGACCTATTGTGATAGATTTTGCTTGAGATCCCCTTTGTCTTGCTATTTTTCACAAGAGGTTGCAAGACATTTATCATTAGCATAAAGAGTTATTTATTTTACATTTCTATAGTATCAGGAAGTTGTTCAAGTTTGTTGCTTCCCATGTCCAGCCACTCAAGGGCAGGCATGTTCAACACAGCAAGAGGGATTGTAGTAAAATGGTTCATACTCAGATCAAGGTGAGTAAGTTTTAGCAGATTGCTGAGCTGAAGAAGAAAGCAAGGTTTTTCAAAATAAATGTCCAAAATGTAAACTACTAAAGACTCACATTGGTACAGGAGATATTTCATATCCAGGAACGTTCACATTTTCCTTGGGCTTTATTTAGTTATAGTAGTCCACAACAAATCAAAAATAAAAATAAAGCTAAAAAACCCCTAGAGAAATGGGAAAGTCATAGAAAGTTCATTTATTTGAAGAAAATTTATCTTCCATAATAACCAGGTTCCAGGGTTTATAGAATGTGCCTGGCAAAAGCTTTTTTTTCCCTGAGAGTAAGCACCTATTATCATGTTTTTCTTTGATGCAGTAGCTGAGAATTGTATGGGAAAACTCAAAATTTAATTTCCAAATAATAGTGGTGGAGGAAAGGGGTAGCTCATGCTTATAATGCCAGCATTTTGGTAGGACAAGTCAGGAGGATCACTTCAGTCCAGGAGTTTAAGACCAGCCTTGGCAACCTCAATAGTGAGACCCCATCTCTACAAAATAATTTAAAAATTAGCCAGGCATGGTGGCACAAGCCTGTGGTCCTAGCTACTTAGGAGGCTGAAGTGGGAGAATTGCTTGGGCCCAGGAGGTTGAGGCTGCAGTGAGCTGGAATGTACTCCAACCTGGGCAAAAGAGTGAGACCCTGTCTCAAAAAAAGACTGGTTAATAGACCTGTACAAAATCACATAGCTTTTATAATGATGGAGCCAACCCCAGAAACAAAAATACATGAAATAGAAAGAAAATATTTATTGGTCCTATTGTATGTGTAAAAAATCATCCATATGATTATCATTTTTATTGTATGCAAGGTGATGTGGTTTGGCTGTGCCTCAGCCCAAATCTCATCTTGAATTGTAGCTCCCATAATTCCCATGTGTTGTAGGAAGGACCTGATAGGAGATAATTGAATCATGGTGGGGTGGTTTCCCCCATACTGTTCTCATGGTAGTGAATAAGTCTCATGAGATCTTATGGTTTTATAAGGGGTTTCCCCATTCACTTGGTTCTCACTCTCTTTCCACCATGTAAGACGTGTGTTTTGCCTTTTGCCTTGACTGTGAGGTCTGAGTATGTCTTTATCAGCAGTGTGAGAACAGACTAATATATAAGGGCATACATTTCATTAAGCTGAATTATTAGAAGATATAATATATACATATATACTATATTGTATTTTCAAGAGCAGCAATTGTTGGTAACAAGTTTGCTGGTTTGGAAAAAAAGTCTGACATACTATTCAAGGTAAAGTGGGAGAAGGGAATAGTCTTTCTATTTTATTATTTTTCTTAACTTTTATCTTGGAAAGTCATTGTTGTCAAAGCCAAAGCACCATGGAAACTTCTTCACTGATTCTAAGAGCATTGAATATTTTCAAAAAGTAATACAAATGTCTTTATTTTTATATGATCAATTTGGTTCGACCAATTACAAGACATCATACCAAATCAAAATTTGAAGGCATTCCAGTCCCATTGCTATCACCACATTGTCTGTGCTTTGTGATAACTATTTATTATTTCAAAAATCACCTAGGCCCTGCCCTAAATTCTGAGACTATAATACAACTCTCACCCTGGCCTTCAAGGAGATCACAGTTTCACAAATGATGTCAGTACTGTGATAATAATAAAAGTATCTTTTACACTAAATCTTTCTCCAATTAAAAACCTGCATTATATTTACAGAAATGGTTTTCCCTAAATATTTTTTCTGAAATACATAGAATTTTCTCATTGGTTTTGTTGTTAACAACCTCACATTGAGAGGTCAACTACTGCAGATGCAAAATACAATCATAGGCAATTGTATCTTTGTAACCTCTTGTGGAAGATCACATATATCTCTGTTAACAGCCAGTTCTAGTTTCTCCAAGCTGGCACAATTACTTAGCTCCTTGGGGACAGTCTTGATTTTGCTGTAGCTGAGAATCAGTTCCTGAAGTCTAGTAAGCATTCCTATAAAAAATAACATAAAATATAGAGGAGTTGGATATAAAATAATGTTTATAGTTACTAACGCATTACAGCATAACTTACTTGCCAGTTTTGTATTGGCAAATTCAGAGTTCTTAGTTTCTTCCCTTTCCCAGTCTGTGTCCTGTCCTTTCTTCAAACAAGGAACAAGTTTATCCGTACAATAGGAAAAAAATAATCCAAAACTATTTTCGTTTTATCTACACAAAATCCTGAGCGATTTTCTCTTAGGATTTTTCCCCCCATTTGAGGAATATTTCTGTTCTTTCCTAAGAGGAATCGTTGAGCCAACAATATTGTTTCAAAAATCTACAGGATATTTCCAAAGCAGCTTTTCTTTCATTGAAATCTCATCTTGAATCACCTGAGTAAATCCAGAAACTTGAATCCTCTAGAAGCTTCAATTTAGATTAAATGATTAAAATTTCTCAAGGTTCAGGGCTGTTAACGGCAACACATTGTTAACTTTTTCTTTGGATGTGTCTTCACCCAAATCTCATTTTGAATTGTAGCTCTAATTCCCACATGTTGCGGGAGGGATTCAGTGGGAGATAATTGAATCATGGGAGTAAGAGGTCTTTATTCCATGTATCCAAAAACAAACAAACATAAATCTTAATAAAAAGCACATCTGTAGGTGGATAAAATAGCACAGGAATAAAAGCAATCTTTCTTACCAATCCCTGGAGGTATCTCTGAAATTGTGTTTCAAGATAAGTCTAACACAATGAGGTTCTGGAATCTTCCAATGAATTCAGGAATTTTCAGCAAACCAGTTCTATGAAGTTGCCATTCCTGCAGTTGGTTTAGTTTCAGCAGAGAAGAAGGAAGGGTCTACAGCAAAAAAATGATGGTCGTTATATATTACTAAAATTATTTTAGTATCACGCCACCCTGAAATGTGATATTTGACTTATAAAAGCACTTTGGGATATTTGGAATTTGTTTTCCTTATTGGGTTACCTTTCCAAGTGCTTTGTGTGACTTTACCTTTTTTTTTTTTTTTTTTTTTGCTAAGCCTTCAAACCCCAGTCAGAATAAACAAAAATATTTTGATCAATAAGATACCCACATAGGAGTATGTCCTGATGATTCTGTTATACAGTATTAGGCTTTCCTAAAGTACTTATGTGTTATTGAAAGTGAGACTATCCAAAAGTCAATTCAATCAGTAATTCAAACTGCTTTTCCACTTCTGTTTTGAAATGTAAGAATTTTTTAAATGATTTTTTTAATTTGAGAATTTTAAGAGTTTCAACTATTCTGAACTCTGTGTTTTTTCCATTTCAGCCTAAAATAGCCAGAATAGAAAACAGATGAGGAGCTAACCCTGACAAACACTGACATAAAACATGAAAACAAACACTGACCCAAAAGTTAGAGGCTCTTGTAAAAATTAGAGTGTGCCTAATGTAATTAACCAACTGGGAGTTTGTGTGTAAGGGGGAGAAAGAGTATGAGTCAGGTGGTAGACCCAATGAAAATATTAGTATTTTCATTCCGTGAAGTTTTAACTGAGTATTTTTTCTGAAAAACAGTATTTTTATTAGGCAGATGCTCATCTTTTTTATGGAAAATGAGAAGTTGCTTATAAGAAGGATTAATAGGCAAAATATCACAAGTGATTTAGGTTTAGGCAGGGTTGAAGCAAACTGAACTTTTGCAAAATAATTGTGAAGTTGTGTTTCTTTTCAGTTGCTCAAATTCATTTGGTGTATTATTAAAATTCGTTTCTAAATATTCTAGTCTTAATTACACAGTCTCAGAATCATTCTCTCAACTGACCCACAAAATGCAAAATGTGGAAAATCAAATATTCTATAAAAAAACTTACCTTCCATTCCTCTTTTTCTATCTTCAAAATGACTCTTCCATCTTCCCTGATGACCTTTTCTCTTAGCTTAGTTAAGCTTACTCGTTCTTCCCAGATTCGCACTAGCCTAGGAGACCAGGAAATCATCTTAGTTCATAGATAATGACATAAGTGGCACACACACACACACACACACACACACACACACAGAGTTGCATATATATTGTATTTATAATATCATATTTATAATTCTCTATATATGAAACTCGGCAGAGTTTTGCTCTTTTGCCCAGGTTGGAATGCAGTGGTGAGATCTTGGCCCACTGCCACCTCCACCTTTTGGTTTCAAGAGATTCTCCTGCCTCAGCCTCCCAAGTTGCTGGATTACCGGTGCCTGCCACTACACTCTGCTAAATTTTTTTATTTTTAATAGAGACGAGGTTTCACCAAGTTGGCCAGGCTGGTCTCGAACTCCTGACCTTGTGATCCACTGCCTTGGCCTCCCTAAGTGCTGGGATTATAGGTGTGAGCCACTGCGCCTGGCCACATATATGTATTTTAAAATGACCCATCAGAAACAGCCTTTTGACTATTGGTACTTGGAATCAGACAATAACTTATTTTGAAAAAATTATAAATATTATTAGTACCACAAATGCCCTATTTTTAAATTTTTTAAACAGTATAACTCTATAAATTTTATTAATAATAGCTTTTTTGAGATTTGAGTCACATACCATAAAAATTATTTTTTAAAAGTACACGATGCAGTAAATTTTGGTATATTCACAGAGTTGTGCAACCATCATCACTATCTAATAGCAAAACATTGTATCACTCAAAAAGAAACTCCATACCTGTTAGCAGTCACTCTCCATTCTTCCCTCTCATACCTCTTGGTAATCACTGATCTACTTTTTGTCTATCAATCTTCCTATCCCGGACACTTTATTTAAATGTGATCACACGATATGTATCCTTTATGTCTGCTTCCTTCACCTAGCATAGTTTTTTTCAAAGTTCATCTGTGATGTAGCATCTATTAGTACTTCATTCCTTTTTATGGCAGGATGATTCCACTCTATGGATCTATCACACTTTGTTTATCCATTCATCAACTTATGGACATTGGGCTAATTTCACTTTGGCTATTTGGAACAATGCTTCTATGAATATTGACATACAAATTTTTGTGTGACCATGTTTTCATTTTTCTTGGGTATATTCCTAGGAGTAGAATTGCTGAGTCATATGATAACTTTATGTTTAACATTTATTTATTTTTTTCGAGACAAAGTCTCATTCTGTCATCCAGGCAGGAGTGCAGTGGCACCATCATGGCTCACTGCAGCCTCAGCCTCCCAGGCACAAGTGATCCTCCCACTTAAGCTTCCTGAGTAGCTGGGACTACAGGTATGCTCTACCATGCCCAGCTAATTTTTGTATTGTTTGTGGAGATGGGGTTTTGCCATATTGCCCAGGCTGGCTTGAACTCCTAAACTCAAGCGATCCGCCTGCCTTGGCCTCCCAAAGTGCTGGGATTACAGGCATGAACCACTATGCCTGGCCATGTTGAACATTTTCAGGAACTGCTAAACTGTTTCCGAAGTGGCTGCATCATTTTACATTCCCACCACTGGCATATCAAGGTTCTGCTTTCTTCACATCTTCATCAATATTTGCTATTGTCCCTCTTTTTAATTATAGCCATCTAGTAGGTGTGAATGGTATCTGATTGTGAGTTTGATTTGCATTTTCCTGGTGAGTAATCTATAGATACTTAATAGATTTTTTAATGGCTTACAAAGAATACAGTTCAACTTCAGAATTCAATTTCATGTTAATTTTATCTAGTCTTCATTTATTACATATAAAATGTATAAAATCTTTGTCATTCTGAAGCACATTTCTATTAATTTTTGATCTATTGCAAATATAAGAATTATATCAAACTAGAAACTGGAAAACCAGGCACAGTGGTTCATGCCTATAATCCCAGCACTTTGGGAGGCTAAGGCGGGTGGCTCATCTGAGATCAGGAGTTTGAGACCACCCTGGCCAACATGGTGAAACCCCATCTCTACTAAAAATACAAAAATTAGCCAGATGTGGTGAGGCATGCCTGTAGTCCCAGCTACTGGGGAGACCAAGGCAAGAGAATTGCTTGCACCTGAGAAGTGGAGGTCACAGTGAGCTGAGACTGCAGCACTGCACTCCAGCATTGGCGAGAGATTGAGACTGTCTCAAAAAAAAAGGAAACTGAAAAATTGCAAAGAGCTATTTCCATCCCCGAAAATTGTTCATGCCTGAAGAGGAGAGTAAGTTTAGAATTGAAAATTTTGAAATTTTAGCCTGTTAAAAGGATACATAATAAACATAAGCAGTCATCAAAGCATGAAGTTTAACTAATTTGAATATTTGTGAGAAATCTCTTGACATCTGAGAATTAATACATATATTTAGTAGTTTTGCATATTAACTGATCTTCAGCAAGAATTTTATTTTAGTGAACAGAAAGCCTAAAGTAACAAAGTGTTGAATTTGCTGTCTTTATGTATTTGGGGTTGTAAAATACTTCTTAGTATCTGTGTATTTTAATCTATCACTTGCCTAAAATTTAACTAATCTGCTAACTGGTGCCCTGTGGCAGTAGGATATGTGGGGCCTTCTGATCTGAATAGCTAAGCTTCCCATAGATGTGGATAACTAAGAAAAAATATATAATGTGTTATTCAATTATATCACTTACGATAAAAATAGAACTCTTGGCTGGGTGCAGTGGCTCATGCCTGTAATCCCAGCACTTTGGGAGGCCAATACAGGTGGATCATGAGGTCAGGAGTTCGAGACCAGCCTGTCCAACAGGGTGAAACCCTTTCTCTGCTAAAAATACAAAAATTAGCCAGGCGTCGTACACACACCTGTTATCCCAGCTACTCAGGAGGATGAGGCAAGAGTATCACTTAAAGCCAGGAGGTGGAGGTTGCAGTGAGCCAGGATCACACCACTGCACTCCAGCCTAGGTGACAGGCAAGACTGTCTCAAAAGAAAAAAAATAAAAATAAAAAACAATAGAACTATTCAAACAATGGACTTAATGGTTATTAGTTGATTATTACTAAGAGAGAAATGAAATTCAGAGCAAGATTTAGTAAAAAGTACAATTAGAAATCTTATTCCTTGACTTGTAACTTAAGGAATTAATCAAGTAACCATTATAAGCCAAGTATTAGATATTGGAGATACAAAAAGCTCTGTCCTTGCTGAGTTTACAATCAGGCTATTACTAGAAAAATCTATTTCTGTTTCTGTAATGATTCCTAAATTTTTTCTGGTTCCGTATTTTTATGATCTAAGTCCAGAATGTACCATTTATTAATTTGATTACCTTTGGCAAGACCTCTCCCCTCTGTGGGCCTTACCTATAAAATTTCAGGTTATAATTAAATGATATCTACGTATTTTCCAGCTCAAATATTCTATAATTCCTATACTGCTTTTTCTAAAAAAAAAAAAAAAAAAAAAAATTGAGACAAGCTCTCACTGTTGCCCAGTCTTGTCTCAAACTCCTGGGCTCAAGCAGTCCTCCCACCTCAGCCTCCCAGAGCACTGAGATGACATATGTGAAACTGCTTATTTTAATCTTGCTTTTCTTTCATGTATCTAATTGAAATTTTATAACTCCACTGAAACCCTTTTTGAGGCCTGGCATGGTGGCTCATGCCTGTAATCCCAACACTTTGTGAACGCAAAGCAGGTGGATCACTTGAAGTCAGGAGTTTGAGACCAGCCTGGTCCACATGGTAAAACCCTGTCTCCACTAAAAATACAAAAATTAGTTGGGCGTGGTGGTTTATGCCTGTAATCCCAGTGACTTGGGAGGCTAAGGCAGGAAAAGCACTTGAACTTAGGAGGCAGAGGTTGCAGTGAACTGAGGTTGTGCCACTGCACTCCAGTCTAGGTGACAGAGTGAGACTCTGTCTCTCAAATAAATAAGATTTTTTAAAACCCTTTTATTGTAGAATAAGGCCTTTTTCCTATATCACCATACCAACTATTACCTAAGTACTTGATTTTTTTCAAGGATCTTGGCATCAAAAGGGAGAAAGAACAATTTCTATTTAAACTGGAGGCTTTTTTCTCTTTCATTTGTACCCAAAGCTTTAGCCACTTTTAGCTGAGAGAAGAAGCATTAGATTACATTTTGACCCTTCTTACCCCTTGCCTGTGTACAGACACTTTCAGATCTTCTGCTGCTTTTGTCTGCTTCCTTGCTACTCAGTGTGATTTGCACAACAGCTGCTTCGTTGTCTCCTGGGAGCTTGTTAGAAATCCAGACTCTTGGTCCTACTCCAGACTTACTAACCCAGAACCTATTTTAATAAGATCTCTGTGTGATTCCTATACAGACAAGTTTGAGAAACACTGCTCTATTTAAGAGGGAGTGAAAGAGAAGGGACATCTCTTTGGGTTACTTTTGGTCAGTTTAAAATTTCTATGAATTTTCCAATTAGCCTTTTTCCTGGCAATCAGCTTCTCTGTCTCACTTTAAAAGGTCTCTAAGATTCTTACCATTTTGCATCAATTATCGTTGTTTATTTATTAATTTTTTCTTTTTCTTTTTTTTCTTATGAGACAGTGTCTTGCTCTGTCACCCAGGCTGGGGTGCAGTGGTATGATTATGACTTACTGCAGTCTCGACTTCCAGGGCTCAATCGATCCTCCTGCCTCACCCCTCTGCCTCCAAAGTAACAGGGACTACAGGTGCATGCCACCATGCCCAGCTAATTTAAATTTCTTTTAGAGATGGGGTCTCGCTATGTTGCCCAGTCTGGTCTCAAACTCCTTGGGATCAAGAGATCCTCCTACCTCAGCCTCCCAAAGTGTTGGAATTACAGGCGTGAGCCACCATGCCTGGAAAATTATTTATTTAGTCACATTACAGGTTTTAAACCTAACCTTTGATCTCTAGACAATGTACTTTTAAAGTGGCTTATACTTAATTTTAACTATAAACCAAGCTTTATAATACTGTACAATGATTTTACAATGAAATTGTTTTAAGACTAAGGGAAAAGTGTTTTGAGAAACTGCATTACACAATCTCCATGTAATGTTTCTAAAAGTAGAAGCTGATTTTGGTTGGCAAAAGAGAGTTTGTAATTTCCCCCCTACATTTTAAAACAATCTCTAATTTTTTTCCTCAAAGGTTATCAGAAAACTCTACAAATTCTAGGCCTAATCTTCATAATCATAGAGATGTGTGTAACTTAACTTTTGGAAATTACATTTTGCTAACAGAAAATCCTCCTCCCTAATCATAAAATAGATGATGCCAAAAAAAGAACAAGCAGTAAGGGCAAGACTGCACACTCATTACTCTTACATAGAGAACTTCTGAAATTTCTGAAATTAAATGATTATTAATAATGACTTTATTATTAACACTTTATCAACACTTTAGTCAGGCTTCTGAGTCTCTGCTTGACCAGGCTTGACTCTGGGACTTCCCTCTCTATCCTTGTAGAATCCACTTTGAACAAAAATCTTGCTGTGTCTACACACTTACTAAGAACTAGATGGGGAAAAGTTTAAAAATATTTTTAAGATCAAAAAAGTATGCTATGTCAATTTAAGGGGAAATCCTCCTTCTTTGATATCCTCCTTCAGTAATAATTCTGTCAAGTCATTTTAGCCAGAAACCTCATCCTTGATATTTCCCCGTAATAATTTTCCATCCACTGAATCCCACCCTGCTCCTGAGTTACATATAAATGCCCACTTGCCCTTGTTCATGTGAGAACTGAGCCCAATCTCTCTCTGACTGCAAGGCCCCATTGCAGTGGTCCTTATACCCCATTGCACGGCTCCCCTTGAATAAACTCTGCCTTACCATCATTAGCACGTGTTCAGATAGTTTTTTTCTTTAACACTAGATACATGAAATAGGTGAAATTCAGGAGTTTAGAACCAAGTCATGATTCCTAACCACTGTTAAAAAAATGGATAAAGTTTATTAAAAGTATCTATGGGTCAAAAGAAGTTGGGGCATTAACAAAATAAAGAAAAAAAGTAGTCTAGAGTCAGAGTTTTCATAACTGTACAACATAAGCATAACACATTTCTTAAGTATAGCTTTATGTAGAAAGGGTCAATTTGGGGAAATGTAAAAGCTGAGGTGAATGTAATGCTTACTGAGTCAGACTGCTTAGCTGTCAATACCAGTTTCGCATGTATTAGTGGTGTGATCTTCGACAAGTTTCTTAGAACTGTTCCTCAGGTTTTCCATCTTTAAAATAGAGAAAATAATAGCATCTGCCTATGGCAAAGATGTTACTCTTTTCTTTCTCAATAATGGATCCTGAGCCAGGTGTGCACCTATAGTCCCAGCTACCTAGGAAGCTGGAGCGGGAGGATAGCCGAGCCCAGAAGTTCAAGTCCATCCTGGGCAACATAGCAGGAACCCAAGATCCTGTCTCTAAAAAAAGAAAAAGCAATAATAAATTCTCTAAATTTAACTGAGCGTAAGACCTCATTTACTCATCCTCTTTCATAGCTAGATATGGGTTATGCGAAGTTTTGGCCAGTGGGATGTTAGCAGAAGCTGCAGTGTGAGCAGCTTCCTGGAAGCGCAGCTTCCTCCTAACCAGAGCAAATATGATGGCTGCAGTTGGTGTGTCTAGCTTGGACCACAAGGGGACTTCGGGAATGGAAAACATGCACAATTGAGCAACAAGATAGAAGAAACAGGATGTCTGACTCAGTGGAGTGCTATTCCAGCAGTGGATCACTTATCAGAAAAGTTAACAGATCTTGTTTAAGCCACTATGATTTTGATTTCCTTCTCTCACAGGGCAGTCTCATTCTCATAATGATACTGTATTTCAGCATATTGAGAAAATTAAATGAGATGATACAAATACAGTAGTTAGCAGAGTTCCTAGTAAACAGTAAGTGCACAATAAGTGCTTGCTACCCTTATCTATCATTGTTAGCATCGGTGTCATCCTTATTAGCTTCTCTTGGGAAGAATGATTTTTCCCTGTCCAGATCTTTTATTTTACAGATATTTAGTGACACAAATCATTGCTTATCAGTAGATTCTTGCCCCTCACCCTTGTTTACTGGAAGAATACAAATCATTTCCAAGTCCAAGTGTTTACCAAGTAATCCAGGTGATATGGTTTGGCTATGTCTCCACCCAAATCTCATCTTTAATTGTGGCTCCCATAATTACCACATGTTGTGGGAGGGTCCTGTACTGTTCTCATGGCAGTGAATAAGTCTTCCAAGATCTAATGGTTTTATATGAAGTTTTCCCTTTCTTTTTTTTTTTTTTTATTTGTTTTTGAGATGCAGTTTCACTCTTGTTGCCCAGGATGGAGTGCAAAGATGCAATCTCGGCTCACTGCAACCTCTGCCTCCTGGGTTCAAGTGATTCTCCTGCCTCAGCCTCCCAAGTATCTGGAATTACAGGGTTGCACCAACACTCCCAGCTACTTTTTTGTACTTAGCAGAGATGAGGATTCACCATATTGGTCAGGCTGGTCTCAGACTCCTGACCTCAGGTGATCCACCTGCCTCAGCCTCCAATAGTGCTGGGATTACAGTCATGAGCCACTGTGTCTGGCTGAGGTTTCCCCTTTTGTTTGGTTCTCATTCTCTTTTTGCTGACTGTCATGTAAGATGTCCCTTTGCTCTTCCTTTGTCTTCCACCATGATTGTGAGGCCTCCTCAGCCATATGGAACTGTGAGTCAATTAAACCTCTTGCCTTTATAAATTACCCAGTCTCAGGTATGTCTTTATCAGCAGTGTGAAACTGGACTAAAATAATAAATTAGTACCAGTAGAGTGGGGCACCACTGTAAAGATACCCAAAAATGTGGAAGTGACTTTGGAACTGAGTAACAGACAGAGGTTGGAACAGTTTGAGGGCTCAGAAGAAGACAGGAAAATATGAGAAAGTTTGCAACGTGCTAGAGACTTGTTCAATGACTAACCAAAATCCTGATAATGATATGGACAGTGAGATCCAGGCTGAGGTTACCTCAGATGGAGATGAGGAACTTTTGGGAATTGGAGGAAGGTGACTCTTGCTATGTTTTAGCAAAGAAACTGGCAGCATTTTGCCCTGCCCTAGAGATTTGTGGAACTTTGAACTTGAAGGAGATGAAAGCAGCAAGGCATTCAAGAGGTGACTTGGGTGCTGTTAAAAGCATTCAGTTTTAAAAGGGAAACAGAGCATAAGAGTTCAGAAAATTTGCAACCTGAGAATGTGATAAAAAAGAAAAACCCCTTTTCTGAGGAGAAATTCAAGCTGCCTGCAGAAATTGGCATAAGTAATGAGGAGCTAAATGTTAATCACCAAGACAATGGTTTTATAAGAGGTTTCCCCTTTCACTTTGTTCTCATTCTCTTTCCCAGCCACCATATAGTAAGTCCCTTTACTCTTTCTTCATCTTCCACCATGATTGTGAGGCCTCCCCAGTCATGTGGAACTGTAAGTCAATTAAACCTCTTTCCTTTATAAATTACCCAGTCTCAGGTATGTCTTTATCAGCAGCATGAAAATGGACTAATACGCCAGGATGAATATTAATTTGTCTAAACCAATCAGACAGTCTCATTCCCCTAGAAGGTAACTGGGTTAGATGTGTACAAATGATCCCATTCTGGCCAATGAGAGGCAAAGGAGAGGTTTTTTTGGGGACCCTCTGAGAAAGATTTTCTTACTATTAAAGAATAAATAGAAAAAAATAGTTTCCACTCTTCTGAAAACATAATGATGATTGGCTGTGATGCCTGGAAATGCATCAGTCATCTTGTAACAGTGAAGGAAGCTCATCTGAGGATCAAACTGACCCAGAGATTAACAGTGGAAGGTGAAAAAAAATGCTGACTTTTAAAAGATGTTGAGGCCGGCCAGGCACGGTGGCTCAAGCCTGTGATCCCAGCACTTTGGGAAGCCGAGGCGGGTGGATCACGAGGTCAAGAGATTGAGACCATCCTGGTCAACATGGTGAAACCCCGTCTCTACTGGAAATACAAAAAATTAGCTGGGCATGGTGGCGCATGCCTGTAATCCCAGCCACTCAGGAGGCTGAGGCAGGAGAATTGCCTGAACCCAGGAGGCGGAGGTTGCGGTGAGCCGAGATCGCGCCATTGCACTCCAGCCTGGGTAACAAGAGCAAAACTCCGTCTCAAAAAAAGAAAAAAAAAAAAAAAGATGTTGAGGTTTTGGACTATCTTTGGAACTGCCTTACTTTCCTATTGCTTGAGCCATCTTTAGTTGACTTTTCTGTTATTTGCTGACACTGGAAAATAACACTTGCTAATTTAATGTTTAGAAAGAGACAATGAATGAGAATTGATTGTATGGAACTATATGAATCTATGAGGAAAGGGGCTATTTTTGCAGGATTAGTAGAATACTTTTTGGAGACATTCAATCAGGAAAGTAGGTAAGATAAAATGGAGGCAGAGGAAATGAGAGTGAAATAAATACTCAAATCAAAGAATCAAGTGATCCAGCAGCCCCTGCTAGAACACACGGCTATTCCAATTGAGAATCTACTGTACCTTCTTTTTTTTTTGAGACGGTTTCGCTCTTGTTACCCAGGCTGGAGTGCAATGGTGCCATCTCGGCTAGGCGCAGCTACCATTAGGCATCTGTAAAACAGAGAATCTATTAGCAATAAAGTTGCAAGACTCTCCTTTGCCGGTATGCAGAAGAAAAGACTCAAAATAGAAATGACGCCTTTATTTCATCCGGCTGAAACGAGGTTTTTTTTTTTTTTGAGACCGAGTTTCGCTCTTGTTACCCAGGCTGAAGTGCAATGGCGCGATCTCGGCTCACCGCAACCTCCGAAAGGCTCACTTTTATTTTGAGTCTTTTCTTCTGCATGTGGGCCAAGGAGAGTCTTGCAACTTTATTGCTAATAGATTCTCTGTTTTACAGATGCCTAATGGTAGCTGCGCCTAGCCGAGATCGCGCCGTTGCACTCCAGCCTGGGTAACCAGAGCGAAACTCGGTCTCAAAAAAAAAAAAAAAAAAATGAAATGAAAAAAGTGACGCCTTTATTTCATCCAGCTGAAACGAGTTGGTTTTTTGTTTTGTTTTGTTTTGTTTTTTGAGACTGAGTTTCGCTCGTTACCCAGGCTGGAGTGCAATGGCGCGATCTCGGCTAGGCGCAGCTACCATTAGGCATCTGTAAAACAGAGAATCTATTAGCAATAAAGTTGCAAGACTCTCCTTTGCCGGTATGCAGAAGAAAAGACTCAAAATAGAAATGACGCCTTTATTTCATCCGGCTGAAACGAGTTTTTTTTTTTTTTTTTTGAGACCGAGTTTCGCTCTTGTTACCCAGGCGGGAGTGCAAAGGCGCGATCGGCTCGGCCTAGCTACCATTAGGCATCTGCAAAACAGAGAATCTATTAGCAACAAAGTTGCAAGACTCTCCTTTGCCGGTATGCAGAAGAAAAGACTCAAAATTGAAGTGACGCCTTTATTTCATCCTGCTGATTCTTTCATACTGGGATTCTTTCTTTTTGTGTAAAATAAATTGCAAATGGCAGTATTAAGGATTTTGACCTGAATTTCAGAAATGAGAGGAAAATAATAATAGGAGAATGGTTATGTAAATTATGGTAGGTACATTTCATGGAATGTCCTGTCTCCTTAAAATAATAATAATTTTTTTTACCAGATTAGCAATAATAAAAGAATTTGATTTACAATTATTTAAACTATTTCCTTTCAAATTCAGGAATACAAAGACATCCACAATCACTTCTATTCAACATTATAGAAAGACTGTAATGCAAGTAAAGTAAATAGAAAGTAATGTAGTTGGAAAAGGAAGCAATGAAATTTGCAACAACATAGGGAAACAGACATTTTCATTCATCAGTGGTAGTATTGTTATATTGGGTATGGAGAGAAACTTGGTGATATCTACCAAACTCACCAATGCTCATTCACACTTAATTTATATTTCAAATATTTTCAAAGTTATTTGCGGTGTTTTTTATAACAGCAAAATATTGAAACAACCTAACATTTCATCAGTAAACTATAGTCTACCCATATGATGGAAAATTATATAGTTCAAAAAAGGGAAAAGTATCATATATTCATATGCCATGATCTCCAAAATATATAACTATGCCACAGTTTATCAATTCTAATGAATGTGAATATTTGAGTCCCAGAGCTTTGCTATTATAAGCAATAATATTTCTAAAATTATTGTTTTTATCTTCTTGGTGTTCAAGTGGAATTATTTCTATTGGGTACATATCTAGAATTAGAATTGCTGGATCATAGTGTATGTACGTGTTCCAATTTACAAGACAGAGCCAATTGTTTTCCAAATTGACTGTGCCCATTTATACTCTTACCACCACTGTGTAAGGGTCCCCATTGATATACATCCTCACCAACATACTACTGCATAAAGCGATATCCAGGATGGTCATAATTTGTACTTCCCTGATGACTAAGTGTTCCAAGTTAATATGCAAAGATCATCCAATTAAAGAAAAGACAAAATCCTGAGTGTTGTTTATGAGAGGCACAACTAAAAAACAAAGATAGAGAAAAGGGGACAGTCCAAGAAGAGAAAAAGGTCCACTTCTAGGTATATACCCAAGAGAAATGAAAACATACGTTCTCACAAAATCCTGTACATGAATGTTGATAGAAACAGTATTTGTAATAGCTAAAAGGTGGAAACAACACAAATGGCCATTTGCTGATGAATGTATAAACAAGATGTGGTATATCCATACAATGAAATATTATTTGGCAATAAAAATGAATGAAGTATAGATACATGCCACTGTATAAATAAATGTTGAACAAAATTATGCTAAGTGAAACAAGCCAGACACAAAAGACCACATATATAATCTCATTTATATGAAATGTCCAGAAAATACTCTTACTACCACTGAATACGCAAATCTATAGATTCAGAAAGTAGCTTAGTGGTTCCCAGGGGCTTTGTAGAGGGAGAAACAGGGAATGACTGCTAACTGTACAGTTTTTTGAGTGATTAAAATGTTCTAGAATTAGTGATGATGATTGTACAACTCTTGAATATATTAAAAACCACTGAGTTGTACACTAAAAGAGAATGTACATATGAATTATATTTCAATTAATTTTTTCCTCTCTTTTTTATTTCCTTCCTTCCTTCCTTCCTTCCTTCCTTCCTTCCTTCCTTCCTTCCTTCCTTCCCTCCCTCCCTTCCTTCTTTGCTTTTTTTGAGACAAAGTCTCACTCTATCACCCAGGCTTCAATGCAGTGGTGGGATCATGACTCACTGCAGCCTCAACCTCTGGGCTCAAGTGATCCTCCTGCCTTAGCCTCTCAGGTAGCTGGAAGTATAGGCATGTGCCACAACGACTGGCTAATCAATTACATTTTTCGAGAACTGAGAAAGATATACTATGGAAATGCTAAGCAAAAGAAGGCTAGTATCAATATATTAATAACAGACAACATGGACTTTAGGCACAAATACTTTCCAGACGTAAAATATCAATCATATAATAATAAAAGATTCATTCCACAAGAAATAGAAAACAACTTTAAACTGTATACCTTTAATAACATGGCTTCCAAATATATGAAGGAAAATTGATAGAACTAAAGGGAAAAATCAAGGAATCCAGAATTGAAGTGGAAGATTTTAACCATTTTTTTTCAGCAATTGATTGAACAAGCAGTTTAAAACTTAGGAATAATACTAAAGATTTGAACTACATGATAAATAGATGTAATTAAATGATAAATAAAGAACTCTATCCTACAATGACAGAATACATAATGTTTTTTAAAAAAACACATGGAAGCTATCATAATGGAAATAAGAAAGCATTTTGAACTGAATTAACAAAAATATCACAAGTCAGAATGTATGGAATATAGGTAATATAGGAGACGGAAATTTCTAGCCTTAAATACACATTTTAGAAGAAATGAGGCTAAAAACTTTACATCCATCTCAAGAAGTTAACGAAAGCAAAACAAACCCAAAGAAAGCAGAAGGGCGTATCACAGATAAGTGCATACATGTATAAAATTTTTAAGTGGCACAATAGAATACAATAATAATAATAATCTAAAATCTCTCCACCAAAAACTGCTGATCCTAGAGATGACTTCAGCAGCAGATTCTACCAAGCATTTGAGGGGTGAAAATAACAGTAACCATAGCACAAACTCTTCATGAGAACAGAAAGGAAACACTTCCCAATTCAGATTATGAGATTAGCATAACCTTGATACCAAACCCAAAGAATATAGACTAATCTCACTAACAAACATATTATGGAGAAAAGTACTAAACAATATACTGGCAAACCATATCTGGTAATATGTGAAAAAGAAAATACTGGCCCCGTGCAGTGGCTCATGCCTGTATTCCAGCACTTTGGGAGGCTGAGGCAGACAGGTCACTTAAGATTAGGAGTTCAAGACCAGCCTGGCCACAATGGTGAAACCCATCTCTATTAAAAAAAATATAAAAGAGGCCAGGCATGGTGGCTCATGCCTGTAATCTTAACACTTTGGGAGGCTGAGACGGGTGGATTGCATAACTCAAGAGTTCAAGACCAGCCTGGACAACATGGTGAAACCCTGTCTCTACTAAAATACAAAAAATTAGGAGGTTGCAGTGAGTTGAGATCAAGCAACTGCACTCCAATCTGGGCGACAGAGTGAGAATCTGTCTCCAAAAAAATATAGAAAATGAAAATAAAAAATACAAAAAGACAAAAATTAGCCAGTCATGGTGGAATGCACCTGTAATCCCAGCTACTGGGGAGGCTGAAGCAGGAGAATCACTTGAACCCAAGAGTTGGAAGTTGCAGTGAGCTGAGATAGCACCACTACATTCCAGCCTGGGTGACAGAGCCAGACTCTATCTCAAAAACAAACAAATAAACAAAACAAACAAAAACCATAAAACCAAGTAAATACATTGTAGCCGTGTTGGGTTTATTCCATAAAGTTTGTTTGCTTATCTTTGCTTGAAAAATTAATTAATATAATATTCTGAATTAATAAACTAGAAGAGAAAAAATATTACTCCAATAGATGTAGAAAATTATTAAAATTGAATATCATATGATTAAAAACAACTCTTAACATACTATAAATAAAAGATAATTTCTTTAATCTAACAAACCATATCTAATAAAAACCTGCAGCAATCGTACTTAATAGTGTAACAGTGAAAGCCTTTCATTTAAAATTAGAAAAAGATGTCTGTTCTTACTACTTCCATTCAATACTGAATAATGGCTCTACCCATTGTGTAAAAGCAAGAAAAAGAAATAAAAGGCATAAAGTCTGAAATGGAGTAAAAAAAAAAGGACATTTCCATGTGTGCAATTATGAACTAGAAAATACAAGAGAATCTACAGCTACATATATAGAATTAATAACAATGTTTAGCAAGATTTCTGGCAAGTCAATGTTTTGAAAAATCAATTATGTATCTATATTCCAGGAGAAAATAGATATTAAATTCTTTAAACAATACTATTTTAAATAGCATAAAAATCAAATTCTTAACAGTAAACAGGATGTGTAAACCTCTACACATAAAACTGAAAGTTGGAGTGAAATTAAAGATCTCAGTAAATGAAGAGATATACATTATATTCATTTATTGAAAGACTCAATCTGTAAACATTATCCCCACATTGAACTATAATCAATCTCAATAATAATTTCATTTGGAGAAAGAGAGGGGTAACTTGGCAATCAGTTTCTAATTTTTAGTGACAAGTCTAAGGATTCAAAATAGCCCAGATACTCTTGCCAAAGAAAACTAGAGTGGGAGGATTTATTCCACATTCACCAAGATCTCTTTTAAAGCTATGTTACTAGATAATGTTATTGGTGCAATAGACAAATATATCAGTGTACTTAAATAAGGAACCCCAGAAATAGACGCATATACAAAGGCACTGCAGAACATTGTGGAAATATTTGTTTTTGAGACAGGGTCTGGTTCTGTTGCCCAAACTGGAGAGCAGTGGCATGATCTTGGCTCACTGCAACCTCCACCTCCTGGGCTCAAGCTATCCTCCCACCTCAGCCTCCAAAGAAGCTGGGATTATGGGCACACACCACCACACCTGGCTAATTTTTTTTATTTTGTGGAGATGGGGTTTTACCATGTTGCCCAAGCTAGTCTTGAACTCCTGGGCTCAAGTGATCTGCCTGCCTTGGCCTACCAAGGTGCTGGGATTACAGACATAAGCCACCACACCTGGCCATGGAAATAATTTTTTAAGAGGAATTATATTGGTACAGTTGAATATCTATATATTACCAAAATTAATTCCATATGAATTGTAGACCTAAAAGTGAAAGTAGAAAAAGTAAAGAAAGCATTTGGGTGACAATATAGGACTTAATCTTCATGTCCTTAAAGTAGAGAATACTTTTTAAAACAGAATACAAAGCATATCCATAAAGGAAAAGATTGTGATATAGTCTGAATATATATGTTCCCACCAAATCTCATGTTGAACTGTAATCCCAATGTTGGAGGTGGGGCTAGGTAGGAGGTGATTTAATGGAGTAGGATCCGTTATGACATGGTGCTGTCCTTAAAACAGTGAGTTCCTGCGAGATCTGGTTGTTTAAATGTGTGGCACCTCCCCCTGCTTCTTCTTTTGCTCCTGCTCTGGCCTTATGGGACTCAGGCTTCCCTCTCCACCTTCTGCCATAATTGAAAGCTTCCTCAGGCTTCACTAGAAGCCAAGCAGATGCCAGCACCATGCTTCCTGAAAGCCTACAGAACCGTGAGCTAGTTAAACCTCTTTTCTTTGTAATTTACCCAGTGGCAGGTATTTATTTGCGTGTGTGCACGTGTGTGTGTGTTTTCTTGAGACAGGTTTACTCTGTCACCAAGGTTGGAATGTAGCGGCACAATCATGGCTTACCATAGCCTTGATCTCCTGGGCTCCCTCTGCCTCAGCCTTCAGAATAGATATTAAATTGTTAAAAATATGCTATTTTCAATAGCATAAAAATCAAATTCTTAAAAATAAACAGGATGTGAAAAACCTCTATACAGAAAACTAAAAAATTTGAGTGAAATAAAAGAAGACCTAAATAAATGAAGGGACTATGAAGGGACTACAGGCGAGAACCAGTGTGCCAGCTTTTTTTTCGTTTTATTTTTCTGTAGTGACAGGATCTCTCCACGTTTTCCAGGCTGGCCTTGAACTCCTGGGCTCAAGCAGTCCTCCTGCATTGGCCTCCAGAAGGGCTAGGATCACAGACATGAGCTGCCATGCCTGGCTAGGTATTTCTTTAAAGAATGCAAGGACAGCCTGACACAGACTGATAAATTGGTCTATGTTACAATTAAGAACTTACTGAAAGACATCACTTAGAAAATAAAAGGAATATCATGTACATTAGTGGGGGAAGACATTGGCAACATACGTAACCACCAAGGGACTACATCTAGAATACATAAAGAACTTCTAAAAATCAACTAAAAAAAACCACAAAATACAATTGAACAGAAAATTTTCAAAAAATAAAATCCAAATGGTAGAACTTGCCTTGTGGAGAAAAAAATCCAAATGACCAAAAACATGTGAAATTGTGCTCCACCTTATTAAAAACGTAATAAGATACCAATGAACATCTGTCAGAATGGCTAAAATTCAAAAGGCTGATTACACCAAGTGTTGGCGAGAATTTGAGTTACAGAAATCCTCACGCACTGCTGGTATATTGGTGAAATTGTAAATTAGTATTACCTATTTTGAAATACTTATGTGGTAATGTTGAAGATAAGCACAGCTTATGATCCAGTAATTCCATTCAAAGGTATACCTAGAGGAAGGGTGTGTCTCCACTAGGAAACATGAACAAGACTGTTCCCAGCAATATATATCAAGATAGTAAAAAAATTTAAAATAAAATAAAACAACGTTTTAAAAGCAATAGCTGGGCACGGTGGCTAATGCCTGTAATACCAGCACTTTGAGAGGCTGAGGCAGGTGGATCACTTTAGGTCAAGAGTTCAAGACCAGCCTAACCAACATGGTGAAACCCCATCTCCACTAAAAAAAATATAAAATTAGCCAGGGGTGGTGTCACATGCCTGTAATCCCAACTACTTTGGAGGCTGAGCCAGGAGAATCACTTGAACCCAAGGGGCAGAGGTTGTAGTGAGCTGAGATTGCACCGTTGCACTCCAGTGTGGGCAAGAAGAGGGAAACTCTCCCTCACACACACACACCCCAAAGAAAGCAAAATGGCAATATCCATCCAATGAATTATAAAAATTAATAGCTAGAATTAAGTGAGGAAAAACCATGTGACATTGGAGATATGGTGAAAAGAGGAAATTTCTTCTCCCAGTAAGCAAAAAGAACGGCAGTCAGAAATTATGTTGAGGAAGACACTGTACAAGAAAGGCATAGTCCATATATAAAGCCAACAAAATGTGGCATGCTTTTTAGCAATTATTGAAGTGCAGGAAAGGAGAATCTATATTAACATTCTTCTTTAGTACCATTAATATGACATTGATACTGAGAAGGAAATGTTGGCTCTGCAGAAAATAGAAATTACATAGTTGTGATACTGTAAACCCTGTGTATTGATCTTTTGAAATACATCAACCTATAAAAAGTAAGGAAGATTTATTGAAGGTTACAGAACACAATATAAATGCCATATGTCTTGACAACATAATAGTAACAGTACTTTTTTTTTTTTTTTTTGAGATAGAGTCTCACTCTGTTGCCAGGCTGGAGTGCAGTGGTGCAATCTTGGCTCACTGCAACCTCTGCCTTCCAGGTTCAAGTGATTCTTCTGCCTCAGCCTCCCGAGTAGCTGGGACTATAGGTACGTACCACCATGCCTAGCTAACTTTTTGTATTTTTTAGTAGAGACAGGTTTTCACCATGTAGACCAGAATGGTCTCGATCTCTTGACCTCGTGATCCACCCGCCTCAGCCTCCCAAAGTGCTAAGATTAAAGGCATATTGTGGCAGTAAGGTAAGCATAGCAAATGAATTGCAGAAGAATTGTTTCTTAGTTCTGGGGAAATTTATCCTCTGTCTTCCAGAGAAGCACAATTATATGAGTGATGATGAACACCTCCCAAAAAGCTTTTAAATTCAATTCCAGTTTGTTTGGACATTCTGGCCGGTACAGACACAGTATAGGTATCAGCAGCAATCTAGTTATATGTGAAGCATAAAGGAATAAATGTTTCTGAAAAATACTTACCATTGTCAAATACTTACCAATATTGGTGGACACTAAAGTTCACACAACCAAAGTTAATGACTATCAGTTAAAAGTAGATTGCAGGGTTTTTTATTTTCTTCAATGTGGCTCCAAATGATTAAAATCCCGTCAGCTGTAACCAACTGAAATGTAATGTCAGCCTAGTTCTAATTTTAGTTCAAGGACAAAGCTGAGAATAGAAAAGAATCACATGGGGCTTCTCTGCGAAGGATCAGCTGATAAGGTATGTGAGTGCATTCTGTGGACTGCAAAAGGTATACGACAGACATTATAAAACTATCAGGCATAACTATTTCTAAGATCCTGAAAAATAATGCCTGTTGAAAGTCCTTCTATTTTTCACAATTTACTCATTTAATAGAATTTAATGCATCTATTCCATCCAAGCAGAGAAACTTGAAATATGTTGATGTATGCCATAACAAAAATTCTACCTAGTAAGCTGTAGATCTGCCAGTATTTGAACTAAAGGCCCAGATGCTTTAGGAAAAGAAAAAATCAAGGTGTGGATAAGCATGGGTAACAGAGGAGCCCCAAACTTCTGCTGTACCTGGACTTCAAATTCAGTTATCGCTCACTTTGATCTACTCAGCTTTCGTAGATAGGGCGTAATTCCAGGTGCTTAAAAGAATTAACTATATTGGCGGGGTGCGGTGGCTCAAGCCTGTAATCCCAGCACTTTGGGAGGCCGAGGCGGGTGGATCACGAGGTCAAAAGATCGAGACCATCCTGGTCAACATGGTGAAACCCCGTCTCTACTAAAAATACAAAAAAATTAACTGGGCACGGTGGCGCGTGCCTGTAATCCCAGCTACTCAGGAGGCTGAGGCAGGAGAATTGCCTGAACCCAGGAGGCGGAGGTTGCGGTGAGCCGAGATCGCGCCATTGCACTCCAGCCTGGGTAACAAGAGCGAAACTCCGTCTCAAAAAAAAAAAAAAAAAAAGAGTGAGGTTTGACAGATGAACGGACTGGCTCAAGGTCAGATTAATAAATCTAAGAGCTGAATTCAATCCTAGGGCTCACTCAGTCTGTGCTGTTTCCATTAGTTAATGGCCCTAGTAAATTTTTTTCCTGGTCAAAGTAGCTAGAATACAACCCCTGTAGTTCAAGGCATAATTTTGTTGAATTTTTAGAAACCCTGTACATTCTCTACATCTGTTAAAATCACTGGAGACATGAGTGAGAAAGATTAGCACAGGGAGCCAAGATCCAAAGGAAAATCAGGAGATTCAATGGTAGGAACCCCAATATGGTAGGAACTCCCATGCTAACTTGGATAATGCATATTTGCTGAAGAGAATGTATAAATATCCATATATTAGATACAAAAATTATTACATATTTCCAAAAGACCAAGTAATTTATTGCTACTCACCTTTCTGGAAAACGTTTTGTGATATATCTACCTACATAGTACTACCCTTTTAGAGTAACTTGGGTATAAATATGAGGGACAAACTTACTTGTGAGAAATCACTCACATATTATTTGTAGTAGTCAGGTAACTGTTGGAAGAAAGCTGTCTCTTAACCAAGTAATAAAATACTACCTTACTACACAGCACTTTAAATTATCTTCAAAGTGTTTGTTTTATTCATTTATTTTTTTAATGGAAACATGGTCTCACTATGTTGCCCAGGCTGGTCTTGAACTCCTGGCTTCAAGTGATCCTCCTGCCTTGGCCTCCTTCAGTATTTTTACACATTTTCTTCTCTGATGATTACAAAAATGTTACAAGTATGCAGGACAGATTTCTCAATGTTACCACTGTAGAAATGGACTCGAAGTTGACCAAACTTAAATTTCACAAGTCTCCCCAAATGATGTGATTTTAGTGTTTCTAGCATTAGACTCTAATCTACAACAAGCTGTACAAAATGAACAGTTAGAGCTACCAAGAGCACCTACTATGACTAGCATTGAACCATGCAATTTATGCTACTGAATATAATTTAATTAAATGATGCACTACATTCTTGGAATGGTTTTATGTCAAAGAGCTTTTCTTTAAAACATTTTGTACTAATCCTGGTAAACATTCAATATTATAAAATCTATATATTTACAAACTAAACTGTGTTGTTTTAGCAGAATTTTGGAAATATGCATATGTACAGTGTTAGAAAAGTAACTCCTGGCCGGGCGCAGTGGCTCACGCCTGTAATCCTAGCTCTTTGGGAGGCCCAGTTAGGCGGATCATGAGATCAGGAGATCAAGATCATCCTGGCTAACATGCTGAAACCCCGTATCTACTAAAAATACAAAAAAATTAGCTGGGCGTGGTGACACACACCTGTAGTCCCGGCTACTCAGGAGGCTGAGGCAGAATTGCTTGATCCCAGGAGGCAGAGACTGCAGTGAGCCGAGATCATGCCACTGCACTACAGCCTGGGCAACAGTGCAAGACTCTGTCTCCAAAAAAAAAAAAAAAAGAAAGAAGAAAAGAAAGTCAGTCCCATTGCTCTAGATGCAGAATGAAGCTGATATCCATCCTTTCTGAACTAAATTATCAATATAACAATATGGTTAGAGCATGGGCTTTAGCATTAAACGGAGCTGGGGTGAAATCCTAGCTCCACCACTTACTAGCTATGTGATCACAGGCAGATTATTTAACCTCTCAGAATCTCAATGGTCCATGTGTCAAATGCAGCTATTACATTTGTTAAATGAGATGTATACATAGCATTAGCACAGATAAACCAATCAATAATAGAAGTTGATGTTAAGGGGTAAATGCAATATAATGGCAGAATGATATGAGTTTTATCAAGTATTCTGCTAAAGCTCACGTCCCTCTTTCTCCTCCCTTCACTGCCCCATGGTACCTCTCAACTAGGTATAGTAATTCTCCACTTATCTGAAGGTGGAGCATCCTTGCAACTTCATCTTAACAGAGCTTCATGGCCCAGAGTACCTAAAATAGGTTCCACATAGCCTCAGCATTAAAACCGTGCACTTGACCCAAAGGAAAGGTATTTAGACTCTCAATCAGCTCCTATTTACCACTGTTAGCAAATACTTCTTAACAAACTTGGTTATTTGTCTTCTCAGAAAATTAGAAAGGTGGGTGATGACCTGGCACAAGGACAATCTAAACAGACTGGAAAACTAAAAATCAAATGCAGAATTGTGCTGTTTATAGTACAACGGTGAATGTTCGTAATATGTCTGCATAATCAAAAAAGCTTACTCAGTAGCCTCACTTTAAGAGGTAACACATATGAAATTTTAAAACAAAATTAATGCTTTCTCTCAAAAAAACAGTTTTTGAAAAGTTTTGGTACAAAGAGCTTTAGCTGTTTAGAAAAGCGAGTAATCATTTTACTGTATTAAATAAATAGAGGCTAGAGAAAGCATCTGTCACCACATCAGCTGTAAAGAGAACTCGGTGTAACACAATTTAAACTGAGTTGATTTTAGTTTAGTTTTGGTTTTGAGGCAGGGTTTCCTCTGTGTGTGGGCAAAGGAGAGTCTTGCAACTTTGTTGCTAATGGATTCTCTGATTGTTTTGCAGAAGCCTAATGGTAGCTGCAGACGGGCTGAATGTTTCCTGGAGCTGGTGCAGTTGCACGAGGCAGAGGAGCCCAGGGTGCTGCAATGTGAAGGCTGGAGAGAATGTGTGTTTCTGCTGCGTGACCTTGAGTTCTTCTGTCTGCTAACTAAAAGGTCGGTGGTCAAGCCCAGTTAGGCACTCTGAGTTTTACATGATCTCAGTTCATTTAAGATAAGCTTCTGATAGGTTTCCTCTTAGCTAGCCTCTCTCCTAACCTTATTGTCAATCCCTCTAGTTAAATCAGATGTGGTAAAATCCTGCTTGAACCCCATGAGCTGTTTTGTAGATGCCATTTGGCTTCTGCATAATAATCAGAGAATCTATTAGCAACTAAGTTGCAAGACTCTCCTTTGCCCACATGCAGAAGAAAACACTCAAAATAGAAGTGATGCCTTTATTTCATCCAGCTGAAATGAGTTTTGTTTTGTTTTGTTTTGAGATGGGGTTTCGCTCTTTTTACCCAGGCTGGAGAGCAATGGCGCAATCTTGGCTCACCGCGACCTCCGCCTCCTGGGTTCAAGCAATTCCGCTGCCTCAGCCTCCCTAGTAGCTGGGACTACAGGCTCATGCCACCATGTCTAGCTAATTATTGTGGGGTTTCACCATGTTGACCAGAATGGTCTCCATGATCTACAGACCTCGTGATCCACCCGCCTCGGCCTCCCAAAGTGCTGGGATTAGAGGCGTGAGGATACAAGTAATGTTTTACAACCCATTTGTCTAGGTCTCTTAACAAAGCCTGGTCTTCCAGGTGTTTGCCCCGTATCACCAAAGGCCAAAATCATCAAGGACATGGCAGGCTCTGTCCTTCCCCCAGAGGGTGCACAGCCCTTCCCTTCCATCCTCTTCTCACAAAACTGCTGGACACTGCTCCCAACCAACTCCTTCCTGCAGACAAGCTGGAATTCTGTGACTATTAAAGCAGCTTTTTATTTCTTTTCTCCTGGAAAATCTGTTACGCATATCTGGGTTTCCCACTTAGGCCCTTTTGTGTTGATCTTTCTTCTCTTTAATACTTTTGAAAGTTTTGTCTGATTTCTAAAATATATCCTTAATATGTTCCTTAATAATTATATATTAAGTATGGACATTTAATACTTAATATGTTTAGAAACATGAACATTTGTGGTTCAAGCAGGATATTACCACATCTGATATATACTTCTTTTCAAGAATGAAACAAGTTCTGAAGATCCAGAGCCTAGTTCTCACATGAATAATATTAAGCTTTCTTCCTAAGGTTGGGTTTTACAGTTACTGATTCCTGGAATGCTGGTGTCATTGCCTTTAAGCCCAATCCATGAGGAACACACCTCACACTTAAAGGTGGATTTTTACTGCACATGGGGTACACTGTACACTACTAGGGTGATGGAGCACTGAAATCTCAGTCTTCACCCCTACACAATTCATTCATGTAATCAAAAACCACTTTTTTGTTTTCTAAAAGCTATTAAAGAATTTATGTGAAAGACAACGGTATGTTTTTCCACTCCTTGCAGAGAGAGAGAACAGTCTCTGTGAACATAAACTACACAAAAAGATGGGTTCCAAGATACTGAACATTTAGCAAAAAAGGATAGCCATCCTTGAGAGATGTAACCCAGACAGCGGAGCCCCTCAGTTGCTTCCACTGACTGCCATGAGAGAGCTTCCAAGCTAAGGACAGGGAGGAGAAAGTCAAAAGGACCTTAGTGCACACCTTTGAGTTAAGGACACTAAGCAGAGTGTCCAGGGTAGTGTTAACCCAAAGTAGCATAAAACCTGTAAATAGGACCCAGCCAGGAGAGAGCTGCAGAAAGTAAATTACAGTGAACCACAGAGGGTGTCCCTACTGCATCAGCACAGGGCTGATTAAGAAAGTACGGATCAGAGCCCACATTTGATGAAAATATTCCAAAGTCAAAAGAAAATCATTTGAAAAGATTGGAGAGTCTGGTGCCTGGCCCATACACAAGGCTTGGAATGGTGCCTGAATAATAATTAAAACTAAAATTAACTCATCATCCACAGGACAAAGGATAGGAGTTTCAAAAAGCTTTTTGCTCAGTAGCATGCCATGAGCCCTGCTCTGGACCACCTCACAAATCATAAAAACCAGACTGAAAATGATTAGACTGTTTCCAAGTGATTTAACTGCATCCCTGAAGAAAGCTAAAGATACACAGGAACACAAAGGCATCCAGCACTCAAGATAACAGACACAACACCTGGGAAACCATCAGAGATTCTGAGGCCTGGAAAGATGCCTGTGTGAGGAGATGAGTAAGCCTTTGGAAGCTGACCCAGCCGAGAAATAAACCACCATCTATGATCCATTGATCTTTGATGGAGACACCAAGAAAACATGATAATAGACTAGATAGAGAATAGGTACCATATAAAGAAATGAGATCATGTCATTTGAAGTAACATGGTTGGAGTCAAAAGACATTATCCTCAGCAAACTAACACAGGAACAGAAAACAAAACACTGCATAGTCTCACTTATAAGTGGGAGCCGGATGATGAGAACACATGGACAGATAGGGTGGGGATGGGGAAAACGCACACTTGGCCCTGTCAGGGGGTGGGGAGTTGGGGAAGGGAGAGCCTCAGGAAGAGAAGCTAATGGATGCTGGGCTTAATCCCTAGGCAATGCAATGATACGGATTCTCTGTGCAGCAAACAACCGTGGCACACATCCACCTGTGTTGCAAATCTGCACGTCCTGCACATGTACTCCTGAGCTTAAGTCAAAGGTGAAGTAAAAAAATAATAAACAAAGAAAGAAAAAATCCACTGAAACATTTGTACTTGCACCAAAAGTAACTCAAAATTGATTATAGAACTAAACGTGAACTGCAAATCCAGAAAAATTACAGTAGCAAATGTAAGAGAAACTTCCACGGTGTAGAGTTAGACACAAAATAGACTTGGTTATCATATCAACACAAAGTACTAAAGGAAACATTCCTAAGTTCAACTTGATACAAATTAAAAATTCCTGGTCAGCATAAGACACTGTTAATAGACTAAAAAGCTACAAATTGGGAGAAGAATATGAAAACCCCACATAGGTCAAAGGTCCTGTATACTGGGTAATTGTGTGTATAACATTTAGTGAGCCCCGGTGTGCCAGGACATTTGTTCCAGCATTTTTCTGGGTGTGTGCTGGAGGCAGTTTCTGGATGACATTAACACTAAACTAGACAAACTAAGTGAAGCAGATGCCCTCTCTGTGGTGGGCGGGCCTCATCCAATCAGCCAAAGGCCAGAGGAGAAGGAAAAGGTCAATGAGAAGAAAATGCTTTCCTGAGTGTCCAGCTTTCCATCTTGGGAATTGCAGCCTCCATAATCATATGTCCAAACATATATACACACACACACACACACACATACTGTGTACATATATACGCACACACACATTTCATAAGTAAGCAGGAAGGATTGTATTTTTAAAAGTTCAGCTATTCAATGACTATTGCTGAAGCTGGCCAGTGAACATGGGGATGTTCTACTGTATGATTCTGTCTCCTTTTTTACACTACTGAAGTTCTGCATTTGAAGAAGTATGAGAGATAAAAGCTGAATTTCTCCACATACACTTCAAAGCCCTAGGGATTAACACAGTCAAAAATGCCACCCATAATCCTGCCCCCAACCAGGGCTAGGGAACACTGTGGCCCTCAGGTGATTTTATTTAGCTGGATCTGGGAGCCACACAACAGCAGAGGGAGCAGGAAACACTATGCAAATAGAAACCAGCACAGCAGGGAGGGCCTGTTCACAACATAACACCCAGAAAAACCATCCTCAGACAGCCAGTGTGGAGAAACACAGAACATGCCTGAGACCTGGTGGATCAGAACCCAGCTACTGGGGAATGGATGGGCAGGGGCTTCACAGTACGGAGGACCAGAGGGACCTATCTTCCAAGGGTAGCATTGCTGGGAGACCGGGAGGCTTAGACAAAGGAAGCATCCTCTGGAGACTTGTAGTGACGAGAATGAATGAAGTAACTGGCAGAAATTAAACGTCCTGGTAGAACAAAGTAGAATCCCAGAGAGAGCAAACATGCTGTCTCCCAATGCCAAACAGGACATCCTCAAATCATAAGAAAAATCCTTTTTAGCAAGTACTGTATATCCGGTGATGTGACCCATGCGTGAAGTCTGGGAAAAGTTCCCTAAGCAAAAGTCAGCGAGACCTGATTCCCTCAGGAGGACTCTGTTACAGATAAATTCCACTCAACAAGGGACACTTAGGACACACGTTTGAATAGCACATGTGCGTCAACATATTTAATTGTAGATCTATACCAAAAACCAAGGTGGGAACAGGTGGGACACACAGGCTGTCACTTTATGTTTGGGCTGAAATGACAAATAAGAAATGGCAGGTAAAGAGGATAGAGAAGAGGAAAATAATGCTTTGATTGTTATAGTGGTGAAAATCTGAAGCTGAAAGATGTAACTTAAAATGTATAAACCAAATAGTGGAAGTGTCTCAAGTTAAAAGGGGATTAGTGATGTCAACACCTTAGTGCAATGTTAAACAAGAGCTATACAACTCTTCTTAAATAACAACAAAAGGCACATGTGTGCACGTACACACATGTACGTACACAGACGTACACAGACGTACACATTTGTACACACGTGTACACACAGGTACACACACATGTACGTACACACACGTACACACACATACACACACACAAAGAAAACAAGTAACACCAACAAAGAAATGCAGAAAACACAATCTACCTCATATAATAAATATAGACTAAAATATGGAAGAGTTTAGAATATAAACAGAAAAATAAGAATGTTTTTTATTAATCTATAGAATTATCTGGCAAACCAATCATAAAAATAAAAACTTAGAACATTATTTGTAAAAAATTATCTAGTCAAGAATGATGGGCAAAAAATTTTTTAATTAAACAAATTTAAAGTTTAAACATTATAACTAATAGACTAAAGTTAATTTTGGGTGAAAGTTAAAACTGGGGCAGAGAATATTCTTTTCCACAACAGAATGCCAGCATAACAAATTAAAATTAATTTTGGATGAAAGTTAAAATTTGGGTGGGGCATATTCTTTTTTGTGAAGAATGCCAGTAAAAACAAGTACATAGTAAAATTTTGAGAGAGAATATTTCCAATGTACAAATATAAACATAATAACTAACACAGACAGCGGTGATTAATTGATGATAAAATGGTCAGAGGAACATGGTTAGAATACAGATGGTTAGAGTTTTTCAAACCACTTTTCAAATTAATTACAAATAAGGTGTCTTTACAAGGGACAGAGCTCCTAGACTCCTCCTTAACCAAGTCACAAGGAAAGGTCAAGAGATAATTTAGGTTGTATTCTCCCTAAGTCCACCAACCCTTTCACTGCAGGGAGAACAGGTGCAGAGCGGATCCACGCTGACACCTCTGCTGGGGTCAGGGCTATGCACCGTGCACACTATTCACACATTATTGTCAAGAAGCCACACACAGGAAGCATCCTTGTGTAATCTGAAGGGCATGTTCATTCATCTTAGCCCATCTGCATGGATGAATGTGCCCTCTCCTGGCCCATGTTCCTGACGGCAGGGCCAGCGATGTCACAAGCATCTCACTTCTGAGACACGTATCAGAGCATTTCCCTTTTTTCTTGTAGAAGACCCATCCTGGCTGGGGTGTTTATGAGATGCAGCTCCACAGCTTTACAGGGACCTAAACATGGCCAAGTTGAGAGTTAAAACCCTGGAAATGGGGAGGTGGGGAGAGACTAGGATCATTTATTCCCTGAGTGCTTTTCCAAGGGAGAGCCTGCTGGAGCTGTAGGTCCCCCTGGAGGGACTGGAGGAGCCACTGATTCTGCTGACAGAGTGCACACAGGTAATCCTTCTTGAGAAATCTGTGCCAGGGACTACAGGACTTCTTTATCCTAGACCAGCAGCTTATTCTTTTTCATCTTGACTTTATTCAAAAATAATTTCTACAAAGAAAAAAGGGTGAGCACCAATCATGTCTCAGTCTCAAACAGGTCCTCCAACAGAGAAATGACAGAAACTGGGCCATGAAGTCAGGCAGAAAAGGGACCATGTTCTCACCATGACTTGTCAGGGCATCCTGGGCAAGTGAAGAAAACTTTGAGCCTCAGCGTCCTCAGCTCCAACATGGAGATGCCACTGCCCCCTTGGGAGCATTTCTTAAGCTCTGAATGTTTTATAGCAGGACAGAGCTTGTTTGGCAAGGGGCAGGGCATACAGCAGATGCAAGGTCCAAGTGTATTTTATTTGTTTCATCAATCACTGTGATCACAAAAAAGTATTTGCTTTTTCAAACTCAGGGAGAAATGCAAAACAGGAAAGGGGATGGTCCCGACAGGAAAGGTGCTTGCTGACTGAAACAGAAGAGAGGCCAACATTTTCATTGCTAGTTCCTTTCTGTGTGTATGTGTGCACGCATGTGAGTGTGTGTCTGTGTGTGTGACACAGGTCTCACCTTGTTGCTCAGGCTGGAGTGCAGTGGTACAATGATGACACACTGCAGCCTCAATTTCCCAGGCTCAGGTGATTCTTCCACCACAGCCTCCCATAAAGCTGGAAGTACAGGTGTGTGTCACCATGCCTTGCTAATTTTTCATAGAGACATGTTTTTGTATAGTTGCCTACACTGGTCTCAAACTACTCAGCTCAAGCAACCTACCTGCCTCAGCCTCCCAAAGTGCTGGAAGTACAGGCATGAGCCACCGCACCTGGCACTGTTGCTAATTTTATTACAACATTATCAGATATACTTGAGTATATCACAGAGTTATCTGCTCTTACTAGAAAATAGGTTGATGGTTGAAACTCCCAACAACGCACATGAAACTCCCAGAATGGAAGTTAAAAAAAATGCAATGAGCAAGAAGAAATGAAAATCGGAATTTTTCTCTACATATCCTGTGAAGCTGCTACACCAAAGGGCACTTGCTCAGAGGAAGGGTTTTCTGGACATCATGAGGATAGAAACCACTCCGCTTTGCTCATCAGTTAGGCCAGTACCCCGTGAGGGACACTCATTCTCAATGGTTTTCATGAGAATATAACACTGAGACCAAATCATGATTCAAACAAGCCCACACATGGAAAAAGCCACTGGAGCTCTGCAGAGAATGCAAGCCTGGGCCTGAGTAAAGGAAAAGACACTGGACTGCGTCAGTGGAGGGAGGTCACCTCCCAGCAGGTACAGCCGCAGTCCCCAACCTTTTGGGCACCAGCATCCGGTTTCATGGAAGACAATTTTTCTGGCTCCAGGGTACGGGGTATTGTTTCAGGATGATTCATGCACATTACATTTTTTGTGTGCTTTTTTCCTATGATTATTACATTGTAATATCTAATGAAATAATTATGCAACTCACCAAAAGGTAGAATCAGTGGAAGCCCTAAGCTTGTTTTTCTGAAACTAGATGGTCCCACGTGGGGGTGACAGTCACTGGGAAACAGTGGTGGATCATCAGACATTAGATTCTCATGAGGAGTGCAGAACCTAGATCGCTCACATGTGCAATTCACAATAGGGTTCGAGTCCTGTGAGAATTGAATGCCACTGCTGATCTGGCAGGAGGCGAAATTCAGGCGGTCATGCTCTCTCACCGCTGACCTCCTGCTGTGTGGCCCAGTTCCTAACAGGTCATGGACCCACAACTGTCCATGGCCCCTGAGCTGGGGATCCCTAGAGTAGAGAATCCTTATCAGACACAGGAATTCTACACTGGGCTCTGAAATAATGGTACAAAACTGCCTGGATGTGTGGATGGCCAGAGAAGAGATAAGGGCACTGTTCAAGGCATGCAGTTAGCAACATCATTTGAGAAAAGACAGATGCCCTATCTTACAGAAGAAGGTTTTTATGCAAATATATCCAGATGGGCTACTGTGGCCAAAAACCTGCTATGAGTCCTGACCTCTTTCCTGTTTTCATGCCCACAGCCTGTTCTTGTGAGAAGAAACCAGGTGACCGAGGAGTCACTTGGGACAGGAAAAGAGGAAGTTCCTCCCACTGGATGTCTGTGATTAAAAATGGAGCCAAGAGTCAGATTCAAAACTGAGGCAGGCTCAGTTTACGGGGCCTGCCTGCATTGATGATCTGACTCAGTGACACAAGTTGCAGAAACATAACATACAGAGGCTGCCTGGGAGGACCATGGGGTTTTGGGACCTTCAGGCTGGAGTACTCACAGGCTACATCCACAGCAGGGCACATAAGCTGATTCTCCAGTGAGGACGAGGCACTGCTATAAGGCTGGTGGTAATCAGACAGGTCACCCTGAACTGAAAGAGTCCAATAAATTTCATCCAGGGAGTCTTCTGGGGCTTCCTGCTCCTTTGCCTCCAGTAGCTCCTGGCTCAGCCTGGGGTGAAGAAGACAGAAGATAAACACTGGACAGGACCCATACGACTGCACCCAGATGGTTCTATAGGGAGGACCACAGGAGAGGCCAGAGGAAGCCAAGTACGGTCCTCTCAGAGAGACACAACCATCCTTCTCTGTGTGGAGCAGGAGACAGAGTGGCAGGTGCTCAGTGCACTGGGCAGACAATGAGCTGGGGAGGAAGAGCTGGAGGGATCCCTGTGGGAGACTGCGAGGACACAGTGAATTCAGCACTTTTACACACATTTTGTTGAAATTAGCATCAGAGGCCAAATGAATACAAGTCCTTGAATCTTCACAGAAATAGTTCCTGTATCCTCAACCTCGCCTGTTCTCAAAACTGCGAGCATGATATGAGCTGTTTTCATTCACTTTTTTGCTAGCAAATACTTGCAAACATGGAAATGCCAAAGAGGCAGACAACAGGTGAGATCAGGAAATCCCTGAGTTTTGTCAGTTCACCTGGCTCAACTGACTGTCAGTTCGGATACTTGAAAAGAATTAAGAAATTGAAACCTATTCAAGTATCACAATAAAGAAGACAACATTGTTAAGGGGTAATTTGCAGTTGGATGAATGGATAAGACAGTTCTAGTCATCATTTTCTTTCCTATTTTCCCAGGGTCCCTGGTCCCCAGGTGTCACTTTTGAGCTAACACCCCACAAATCCAGTTACCTGGGGGGCACTGGTGCTTTCCCTTCCTTTTTCTCATGATCATTTTGATTTCCTGTAAACAAATTTGGAAGAGCAGGTCACAGTCAGCAAATCACACTTCACACAGGACCAAATCAGTGTCCAGTTACAGCACAGGGACATAAATATCCTCAGTGTAAGAATGTGATATTCTGACAGGCAGGTTCTAATGCTCTCTAGATTAAGTCTCATTAGAAGTAGCTAAGCCTGCTTTCCAGACCTATGGGACAAAATCTCCCTCATCTGATAGATCATAATCACATATCCTCTGACCTAAGTCAGTGCAAACAATTAAACAAAACTTTTTCCCTATAATCTTCAAAACTGGCCCTAACTACTCTCCAGAAGTGTTGCTGTAATACTGATTTTTCTGATCATATATCCTGGTTGATGAATTGTTAGAGAAATTTATACTTATATTTCTCCTAGTGTCAAGGTGACTGCATAGCTAAGACAAGCTGACTTAAAGGAGACCAAGACTGAGGCCAAGAAGAGTGAAACCAGGAAAATGTCATCCCACATAGGTAGACAAGTCTGTCAGTGGCCATGGAAAAGCATAGAAACTCCATGGACATTGTACAGGGACACGATGACATCATTACAGGTGACAAGGGACATGGGAACCAGGCTAGAAGGCTGACAGATACCTCCTGTACACCTCCTGTACAAAGGTGGTTATGAATTTGTCACACCTGCCTGTGGTCCAGTAACCTGATACTGGAGCCAGGGAGAAGTGGAAAGCCATCAGGCCCACTGATATCTGTATTAAATATTCCATCCTAGTCCTCCTTCCTTCCCTCCCTCCCTCCCTCCCTTCCTCCCTCCCTCCTTCCCTCTTTCCATCCCCTTCCTTCCCTCCTTCCTTCCTTTTTCCTTTCTTCTTTTTTTTGAGACAGAGTCTCTCTCTGTCACCCAGGGTGGAGTGCAGTGGTACAATCATGACTCACTGCATCCTTAACTTCCTGTGCTCAGATGATTCTCCTATTTCAGGATCCTGAGTAGTTGGGACTACAGGTGTGCATCACTGTGCCTGGGTAATTTTTTGTATTCCTTGTAAAGATGGATTTCACCACATTTTCCAAACTGATCTTGAACTCTCAAACTCATGTGATCCACCTGGGCCTCCCGAAGTGCTGAAATTACAGGTGTGAGCAACTGCACCCAGCTCCTTCCTACTTTCTGATTCAAACTAATGTGTATGTATACAGCCTGTGCTCAGAATTGATCTTCCTCAGCCTAGACAGAGGTACGAGGGACAAAGAATATGGAGGTTACCTGGAAGAATGTTTAGAGCATCCTCCCATTCTTCCTGAGAGATTTCACTGTCTACAATCAGAGCAGAGTCGACTTTGTCTTCCTCAAATTTGAATTTGGCGCTCCTGTGAGCCTGGTTGGAGTCAGAAGGGCCGTCGATGTTTCAACAAGGGATGGTGCATTCCTCCAGTGAGTCCTGAGGGACTTCCTTTTCCTCAGCCTTCTGCACCTCCCTGATGAACCAGGCAGGATAGAGATGACAAAAATTAAACCAAGAGGGATTGGACCCCAGGAATTCCCAGCTGTTTTGATGGGAGATGTAAGGTAATGGTCCCAGAAAGCAAAGGGGAGGTTCCATTTAAGAGGGAACAGGCAATCCTCCTCTCTCTGAAACAGAGCATGGCTGCCATGGGAACTCAAGAGGAAGAGAGGAGCTGGTGTTCATTGCATTAGACAGACAAGAGCTGAGGAAGGCAGAGGCTCAGCTGCTTCTGTATGCTACAGTCTTCACAGCACACACACAGAACCAAAAACAGCTGCCACACCGTGTGTCTAAGCTGGGTTGTATTTAACATACTGTGGCCAAGGAAATACAGGTGTCTGAGCCATGGTAGACCCCAGAGATGGTGTGCCTTCTAGATTTTTAAAAATTTTAACATTGTGACATAAAATGTCCATTTTTCCAGGTACTTTTCATAGAGTTTAACTTTGCTAGATGCTTCCCAATTCCTCTGCTTGTTGCCTCTTTCCTGTTTATCTTCCCTAACAAAAGTCTAAAGACAGCCACGTAGAAAGCGGCTTTGCATCTCAGCCTGGCTTTCACTACAGGGGAGGACAGGTCTCCTCTGTATGTACAGGAAGTCCCTAAGGCTAGTGAGGTCATCGAGGATCATGCTTACAGGTACCATCAAGACAATGGACAAGCATGTTAACAGCACGATTTCCTTGTTGGTGAGTGCATGAAGTCAGTGCACTCTGCAGCTGTCCGTATCCTGCATCTGGAATCTGTGACTATGTTCACCTACCTTATGTTCTTTCTGAGACCTTTTCCAGATTTCACCACCCATTAGCCACTCCTGATTATTCAGTGTTACCTGGGGGAAGCTGATTTCTCTGCTTTCTTGCCCTCCTCATCTGTTTGATCTTGATGATGTTTATCATTTTCTGGAATTACAGAAGCATCTATTCAGATATTTCCCACTTTACCCACTGAAATCACAGTCAGCCCTATGTGTACCGAGACAAGAACATGCATCTATGGGTCTGCATTGTACTGAACACTGTCATGTTTTATTTTTAACCTGACAGGTTTTCCTGATCCATGAGGCAACATGTTTCTGACCTGGAGGGTCACCATCAAGATGCCGCCAAATAGTCAAAAGACATCTTGCTCCCCATATTACTGCAGGCTTGCCCAGCCTCTCTCCAAGCTTCAGCAGCTGTCTCCCCAATCTTGCCTCACTTGTCCCACTATACTCCACACATCAGGGACTTCGTGGGCCCTCCAAGAGACTTCTGCTGTCTTATCCAGGAACACACTCTCCATGTGGAGTGCGTGGAGATGGCTTCCTACCACCAAATGCCCCCACATCAAGTGCCTTCTCCAACACCACACAGCAAGGGGCTTTATCTTGTCATGAAATATAGTCATAAGTGTTCCCACATTTGAATGCAAGAGACAGTTTCTCTGCCTTTACAGATTTAGAGACAGGAACTCAGGAAGGATGAATTAATCGGTTCCTCACAGTTGCTAAAGACACTGCTGAAGATAGAGCCTGGAACCCTCATTTTTAGTCCAGGGCTCTTTTGACTCTAACAAGCTGCCTCCTGTCACAGCCTCCTTCCTGTCCTTTAAAACTGGACAGATGCTGCCTCTTGCCCCAAAGGCCACGTTCCAGCAAGAAATGAGGAGATATTTGCAATTCTGTGACCTCCAACCCCATGGGTTTTCCATCTCAGTTTTTGCCCCGGATGTCCTGGTCATGTCATGACTACGAATTTTTAGTGGAAAGAAATAAATTGTCACTGTGGAGGTGTGGTGGTCTGGGGACTTTCATGAGCCTGGGGCTGTGTGTCATCAGGGCTGGTGCCCACCTTACCTGGGCTGAGCTTGCTGACATAATGCTCTGCCAGCCTGAGCCCCTTAGCCAGCTGCTCTTGGAGGTCCTGACCCTGGGACTTGTCTGGGTAATCAGGAGTGGGGGGGTCTTGAAATTTTTATTCACTGAGCAGGAGGCATCTCTTCATTCCTGTAACTCCTTCTGTAACTTTGTCAGCTGCTCTGCCTAATAGCCAGGGATTTATATTGCCTACGGTGAGATAGCAGAGAAGGTTTAATAATGGAAAGGGATGGGTGATCAGTTCTAATACTGCAACGGAGGTTTAGGTGAGAATGTCCTCAAGGAGCTTCCCAAGCAGAACATCAGAAAATGTTTGGGGAAATGCCTGTGGTCCAGAGGAATGTGTGTGTGTGTGTCTGTGTGTGTGTGTGTGTGTGTGTCTATAGCATATCTGTCTCTATATCTATATATTTTGAAATGACAAAGATTAAACCACAAGGGATTGAACCCCAGGAATTCCCAACTGGTTTTCACAGAAGGCATAAGGTAGTGGCCCCAGAATCAAACAGGAGGTTTTGTTTAAGAGGAACAGACAATCCTCCTTTCTCTGCAACAGAGCACGGCTGCCATATTATGTATATACAATATAATAATAAATAAATATGCATTTATTTTTTAAAGCGAGGCATGGTGGCTCACACCTGTGATCTGAGCACTTTGAGATGCTGAGGTGGGCAGAACCTGAGACCGGGTGTTCAAACCCAGCCTGGCCAACATGGTAAATCCCTGTCTCTACTAAAAATACAAAAATTAGCCAGGCATGGTGGTGCACACCTGTAGTCCCAGCTACTCGGGAGGCCGAGACAGGAGAATTGCTTGAAACTTAGAGGCTTCTTCTGTATCAGAGAGAGCTCCTGTGAGATCCTGTATGATGTTCCATTCATTTTTGTCTTCTGTAAACAAAAGTCAGTGTCTTCCCAAATCAGTTTCAAAACGATGCCCTTTCAGCTTCTCACTTTAGCCGTGGACATTTCTATGTGAAAACTCCCATAGTGCATCGGGCAGTGACTGGAAACAGAGACATGCGCAGAAGTGTGGCCCTGTGCAGATGGGGTGAATTGTAAAGATGACAGAAGAAAAGAATGACAGGTCAAGAAGTCAGTATTGAATGAACAAATGAGTAGCTGCGGTCAGCCAGGAGGTGACTCTAAGAGTACATGGGATAGAGTGCACTAAATGCTGCTGGGTGGTTCACTTTCTTTTAATTAATTTTGGATATGCAAAGTTTGACTCAACTTTTCGTTGTTATAAAAAGTGTAATCAAAGCTCAAGGAAACAACTGCAGCCGGTAACGTGCTAAGATGACTGTTCTGTTGTATGAGTGCTGCTGTGAAATGTGCCTGCCACGTAAATGGCTGTCCTGGTCCTGGCCCAGCTTAGCTGCTGGTTCTCCCAGCTGAAGTGCTGCACTTCAGAGATCCACACCTTTGCCCCCCACCTGTCCCCACAGCATCTGCTCACCTGAGCTCAATTAATTTCAATTCCTCATAGATTGTTTCTTCTCCAATTTTGTAGATGTCTCTCTCCAGAGACTGGATGTTGAGGTGGTATTCATCACAGTCTGAGAAAAGAAAGTCATTCCTGCCTCAGTGGAAGGCTGGACAGGCTGTTGTGGTCACTGCCTACATGGCAGGTGGCAGCATTTATCCCAAGGACAAAGGCATCTCCACTATCAGGCTCCAGTGAGGGATTTCCTCATTTTTAGTTATAAACCTCCTGACTCACTGGCATCTAATACTCTCCAACTTAGAGATGGGGAAAAAGAAACTCAGTGGCACATCAAGTAACACCTGGAATGAGACAGAGTCAGAATTCACAGCACCCAAGGTCTGACTCTTAGTTTTGGGCCACGTTCCCAAGCCTTGCAGCCTCTCCTGCAACACCCTCTATGGGGGCAGGAAGTACTGATATTCTGGACAGTGGGAAATGCCCTTAGGACTGTGGGACTCATGGATTCCCTGGAACCGGGAATTTCAAGCCCAAATTTGTCAAAAATTTGAAAAATCATATCTGAATATAATTGCATAAAATATGAGGCATTAGACCCTGAAGTCATAGAAGAAATATGGCCAAATACTAATGAAGTTTGAATTAAGTTAGAAATAGCAGAATAAAGAATGAATAGTGTTTACTCTGTGCCAAGTATTGTTCTAGGACATTGAGAAGAAACAGGTCATGTAATTCATTGCAGCAATTTACAGAGGTAGGTATTATTATAGGACCCAATAAACAGATGAGAAAACTGAGGCACCGAAAAGCTCAGGAACTTGGATGGAGCCCAAGAGTCCGGCCCAGGATCCCTTCTCCACATCTTACACTGTGACCTCCACACTGTGTAATGTGCCATTTTTCTTCCTCTTTAGAGTAAGAGCCTGTGCCCCAGGAAGCAGGACGTTCCTCTCACCAGGGTACTTCCTGCTCTTGATGCCCTAACGTATAGATGCCACACTCATCATTAGGAGCAGAGGCAAAAGGTCTAATCTCTTAATTTTTTTGGTTTCCTGTCTGATTTTTTTCTGTACTATTTGAACAGTACTATTGAGAGGGGAATACAGATCTCATCAAATGCTGATGGATGCTCAGCCTTTTCTTCGGAGTAGCCACACATATGGAAAACTTCCATGTTGGCAACCTGAGGTCGTAGAAGACCATTTGTCTTCCTCATCTTCAGCCACATATTAGAATCACATGGGAGCATTTTAAAACTACAGACACCCAAACCACACCCCAGATCATGTCAGTGAGAATCTCAAGGTGTGAGTTCAAGGCATGCATCTTAACTGAAATCTCACCAGTTGTTTACTACATGGCAGCGGGATTTAGAGATACAAAATGGTACAACCCAATTTCCCATCATTTTCTTTCCTTTCCCCATTTATCTCATGATTGGCTTTGTTTCCTGTGGTTTCAGGGATTTCGGTGTTCTCTCTGACAACTTCAGTGAAATCTCTCTCTTATCAATTGGGCTGAACCGAAGCAAAGACTGTCCTATAGACAGATGCTTGTCTGTCATCTTGTGTAGCATAAAGCAGGTCCTGGAGTCACTTTTCTCAACGTTAATTCAGAAAATGCTCTCTCATATACCCTGGCCTCAAGATTCATCTGAGTTGCATTTTAGATCCTTAACCGGACACGTAGAAATGGAAATGAGAATAAAATGGAGAGAGGTTAGAATAATATATCTCACGATGTATGCAGATTTGAAGTCCTGTCCTCTGGAGCCTGGTTCTGGCTCTGGACTGCAGGGAACGTGGGGAAGACAGCATGGGTCTGAGCCAGTGAGTTGGGTCTTGGCTGGGGGTGTAAGAATCTATAGAGCAACAAAGGAGATTCTGGTGGGAAGAAATCAGTTTAAAGGAGAATCTGGTGGGAAGAAATCAGTTTAAAGTAGTTACACGGCACATGTAAGGGACTGCACATTCCCAACACCCACTGACCTCCTTCCAGGTGTCCTCTTCATGGATCCAAATGGTGCTCATTATCTCACGTGACCCTCCCTCCTCCTGAAGACAGGGGTCCCTGTATTTCTCAGCTGAGGGCTCCAGGAGGAGGCATAACAGGGACTAGGGAGAAGAAACCAAAACATGTGATGGGTCAAAAACAAGTGAAATCAAATAGGTTTAGTCAGCACTGAGGGATAACAACAGCTGGAATGGTTGACTTATGGTCAAGAAGAACTTGATCAACACCCCACAGCACTTAATCGCCGAAACAGAGTTTAGCATGCCTGAGCTCAGAGCCGAAGGCACTGCCTGTAGCTCAGACTTTACAAGAGTGAGGGAGGTTAGCAGCCATTGTGCCAGTTAACTGTCTGCAGTTGCAATAACGGAATTAGAATGTGGGGGTGTCATGGATTTTCAGGAGCCCTGCATTTCAATTGCCCGGGCTGTGCTGAAACCCAAGGACCCCTGGTCTCACCTGAGAGTCACTGATGAAGACCATTTCCTCAGCAGTCCCTCTCAGTATTTGCTCACCCTTGTGACAGTGCTGCAGACTCACCTCTTTCTTAATTCGTCTAAGCACATGCCTCCATGACTAGCTCAATGTTTTTAGGTCCTTACTGGAGACCTAAGTCTGGATTAGGAAGTGATAGTTGGGCCTGGGCATGGTGACTCATGCCTATAATCCCAGTACTTTGGGTGGCAGAGGTGGAAGGAGCAATTGAGGCCAGGAATTTGAAACCAGCGTGGGCAACAAAGTGAGACCCCATCTTTATTTTAAAAAAATAAGAAGTGATGTGATAGTTAGGCACTAAGCCATCATCCCCAGTTGCTTCTTTCTTTCCCAACACAGATCTACTCTTCTGAATTTTCCCAAAGGACCCTCTCAGCCTTAGTCTTGTTATGTGGATCCTCTGCTTCAACACGTGCTTTTGACATGGTTTTTTTTCTTGTCAGTATTATAATGAGAAAGCAGTGTTGACACAAACATTATTTGAGGAAATGCTGTATTTGTATTCTGCCTCTTGTTGGAGGATAGGTTTGAGGAAATTGCCATACGCATCCACCCTTACATTCTTTTTAATGTGGATGCAGATTTAACTTATAATTTGCTCTTTACTAAACTTTCTATAACTTATTCCATAGTGTAACCTCATTTTCTTCAGTATTTTTGCTGTTTTCATAAAAGCAGGTTAAAAACAAACACTCGAGTAATTCTTACAGAGATGTAGCTAAATCTGATGGACGCAGCTGACAACTTTAATTACTATATATACTAGTACCAAGGATAAGTAGACCCCTTAATGAAAGAGACTCCTGTTACAGGGTGCCTGACCAAGTCATGTTTATTTTTTGGCTTTGCTCTTTGGTAGAGCAGTGACTCTCAATCCACGGTTTGCATCACTTTGAGAGTTTTAAAAAAAATACAGACACATGAAAACAACACCGGACCAATTAAGCCAGTGTGTCTCAGAGAAGAGAGCAGTACTAGGGCTTCTTAAAATCTTCTCAAATAATTCTGAAGTGAAGCCAGGGTGAGATTGACTGCCTTAGAGGGACTTATTTAAACTCCTATAAATTCATTAATATATTTTATATGCATTCTTCTTCCCCAAAAAGTCCAATTTCTCTGTCAAGCTCTTGAACTATATGATAGTAAATTATGCTGGCCTTTATAGCCAAGGGCTGGGAATGATTCACAGAAATCAAAGGTACCACATTTTAACACTTTACTAATTTAGTAACATATAAAAGTGAATCTCCAAATCAAGAGGGAAGAAAAAATATGCACTAACTCTGACTGATCATTCCACAGAGCAAAGAATTTACACATCAATATTTTCAAGGAGACAAAAATCTAATAGGAACTAAAGTGATTAATCTGATGCTTCAAAAGAGAATAGAAAATTTGTTTTAAAGGAAATGAATTCTGAAAATACATCGCGACATTTCAGTATTTGGAAAGAGACAACTTCAACTAACTGGAAAAATAACATTGAGGACAAACTAAGGAACAAGCCAAAACATGACATATTTTGGCTAAACATAGCACATCTTATGAGGGCTATATTTATATGGCAACAATTTTCCAATTATAAGGCAGCGAGCTGAAATAATTAGAGCTCAAATACCCTAAGGTCAGTGCTCACAAACATGGTTTCCGTAAGAATCACCTAGGGATCTTGTTAAAATGCAGATTGGATTAAATCTAGGGTGAGGCCTAAGAGTCTGCATTTCTACCAAGCTCTCATGGGATATGGAAGTTGTCATCCAAGAACTACAGTCTGAGCACTAGCAAGGCAAACTATTAATCTTTGAAGTCCTTGCAAATTATGTTATCCAGAAGAGAGCCAAATTGAAAATGTAAAGTGCATAATGTGAACTTACGCTTCAAAAACAAAGGATATTTGATTTGTTTTACACTTTTGTCTTTGTAACACACTGAGGGTCCAAATGGGTGACTGTTAGATAGAGATTCAATAACAGAAAACAGACTGACTCTGGTTTCTGGTTAGTGATATCAATATCATCGCCACAGGTAAATTCCAGTTGAAAACAGGAAAAAGAATTATCTTTTCTCAAAAAACACATATCATTGGCCATTAATATAGACCTAGACCAGGGTATGTTGGAGCTGGCCACTACCACTCAGGACAGTAGGCTGTGTACATCTTTTCCCAACTCCAACACCATCAACAGTTATATCAGATTGGCAGCTTAGATTGCAGCTTAAAGACGGCAGTAAACACTTTAAATGGGGCCTTAAAAAAATTTTCCCCAGAATGGGTTTGCCAGCATAGCATGACATGTAGCTTCTGGCTTAATACGATTTTGAACAAAAAGAAATATAAACATAATATGAAATACAGTGAGTAATGCAATGACCTAGGGAATGTCAAAATTAGAAGACCACAGGGAGCTTAAGGAGGCCGTCTTCTTATCTAAACAATGAAAATAGATATTGGGGAAAACACCAAGTATGAGACATAAGAAGAAAACACCAAAAGAACAAATGGATCAATCTAAATTGCATTAAACAGTGGTATAATCTTAAACAATGTGTTTCTGTTGTTTCTTTGTGGTACTGGTTCAAAGACATTGGTCTCAGGACTCCTATACAGTCTTAAAACTTTCAAATACTTAAAAGAACATGTATTCATATTATTATGCCAATTGTTTATTATATTCAATCTTCCTTTAATTCAAGTGCCAGTGCTCTCTTGCCCAAAATACTCTGATCATGAAGAATATTCACGGAACATTATCTCCAATCACACATTAATAAGGTGATATTTATTGTCCAAACTAGAAAGTTTTTGGGAGTGAAAGGGGTGCCATTAAAATTTTTGCCAGAACAATATTATGAAAGACAAAGGAATACTGAGAAACTATTGCAGATGAAAAAAAGAGGTGCACGTGCACAGACATCATCACCCTGCCCCCACCAGTGAGCATGCATCCCGCTGCACCACCGCCACCAGCACTCACACATGCATGGTCCCTGCCACCCCACTGCCACTGGTGTGTATGTGTAGAATCAACCATATTACTGCCACTGGCATTGTAGGCATGTACAGATCCTGCCATGTCACTGCCCTGCTGCTAGCACACATGCATAAGTGCAGACCCTGCTGGCACCACTCCTATGAAGTACTTTTTTGCCAGAACACCCCATCAGAGTAATGCTTCCAGTGGACTAGGAACACCTCAGACCCTCCAACACAGCAGGTGCTTAACCTTGAGTGGCCAAAGAACAAAGCTGTAGGCCTGGTACCAGACCCTAGGGTTAGAGCATGCAGCCCAGGAGTGGTGACATGAGCCTTGGATCCCTGAAATAACCATAAACAAGGTCACTTATCCAAAGCCAACTCATACTACAGTTGAACCCTCAAGGATATCACATAATGTATAAGCAAAAAACCCCATCCAAAGAACAACAACTTAAAAAATTAAAGGTACCTCAGCCCACACAGAGGATAAAGAACCAGTACAAAAACTCTGGCAACTCAAAAAGCCAGAGTGTCTTCTTACCTGTAAATATTCACACTACCTCCCCATTGATGGTTCTTAGCCAAATAGAAATGACAGAAACAACAGACAGAATTCAGAATATGGATAGTAACAAAAATCATTGAGATTCAGGACAAAGTAAAAACTCAATATAATGAATTGAAGTTATCCACAAAATGATCTAACAGCTAAAAGATGAAATAACAATTTTAAGAGGGTACCAAATTGATCTGATAGAGCTGAAAAACCACAAAAATTTCATAATACAATCAGAAGATTTTTTTGTTTGTTTTGAGACAGAGTCTCATTCCATCACACAGAGTTCAAGTGATTCTTGTGCCTCAGCCTTCTGAGCTAGAAAATATAGAAAATGTATGAAGAAAAAAGCTACTAAGCATAGGAAAATAAAAAAGAGCAGCGATTGCTATTTTTATTTCAGAAGAAAAAGACTTTAAGTCAACAATGATCAAAAAAAGGCATTACATAATGATAAAAGGCTCAATTCAACAAGAATGCTCATCTATCCTAAATATATATGCACCCAACTCTGGAGCACTCAGATTTAAAAACCTATGAAGAGACTTAGTTAACCACATAATATCAAAAGAAGACTTCAACAACCCACTGACAGTATGAGACAGATCATCAAGGCAGAAAAGTAACAAAGATATTAGAGATCTAATCTCAACAATTGACCAAATGAACCTAGCAGGCATTTAGGGAACATTCCATCCAGCAACGACAGGATATACATTCTTCTCATCTGTGTACAGCATGCACTCTAAATAGGCCACATACTCAGCCATAAAACAATTCTCAACAAATTCAAAACAAAAACCAAATCATACCAAGCATACTCTTAGTCCACAACACAGTAAAAGTAGAAATTAATATTAAAAACATATGACCAAATGATACCGTGACATGGAAATTATGTAACCTGCTCCCAAATGACTTTTGAGTAAACAATGAAATTAAGGCAAAAATCCAGAAAATTTCTGAAACTAATGTAAACAAAGATACAACCTACCAAATCTCTGGGACTCAACTTAAGCCGTAATAAGAGTAAAGTTTATACCACTAAAGCACCCACACTGAAGTTAGAAAGACCTCAAATTAACAACCTAACATCACACTCAGAGGGAACTGGTAAACAAAGCCAAAGCAACCCCAAAGCTAGCAGGAGAAAAGAAATAAACAAAATCACAGCGGAACTCAATGAAATTGACATGCAACAAACTATGCAAAGGATCAATGAAACTAGAAGTTAGTTATTTGAAAGAACAAATAAGACTGATAGACCATTAGCTAGACTAATAAAAAGAGAGAAGATCCCAATCAACACAATCAGAACAGATGAAGGTGACATTACAAATACCCACAGAAATTTTTAAAAAAACCCAAAACCCTCAGAGATTATTACAAACACCTCTTTGCACATAAACTAGAAAATACAAAAGAAAGGGATAAATTCCTGGAAACATAGAACTTCCCAAGCATGAACCAGGAAGAAACTGAACAGACCAATAAGTTCTGAAACTGAATGAGTAATAAAAAACTTACCAATGAGAAAGAAACCTGGACCAGATGGCTTCATAATCAAATTCCCCCAGACTTACAGAGAACTGTATTAATCCTATTGAAACTCTTCCAAAACTTTGAGGAGAGACTCTTCCCTAACTCATTTTATTAGGCCAGCATCATTCTAATACCAAAACCTATCAGAGATACAACAAGAAAAAGAAAACTTTAGGCCAAGAGCTCTGATGAACAAAGATATAAAAATCCTCAATAAAATACTAGCTCACTGAATTCAACAGCACTCAAAAAGTTAATCCACCATGATCAAGTAGTCTTTATTCCTGAGGTGCAAGGTTGGCTCACCATACGCAAATCAATAAATGTAATTCATCACATAAATGAAACTAAAAATAAAAACCACATGATCATTTCAATAGGCATACAAAATTTTTTCAATAAAATTTAACATCACTTCATGTTAAAAACTCTCAATAATCTAGGCATTTAAGGAACATACCTCAAAAGGAAAAGAGCCATCTATGACAAACCCACAGCCAGTATCATACTGAATGTACGGAAGCTTGAATCATTCACTTTAAGAATCAGAACAAGACAAATATCACCACTCTCACCACTCCTATTCAGCATAGTACTAACCCACAGTAACCAGGCAAATGAAAGAAATAGAAAGCATCCAAATAGGAAGTGAAACTATCTTTCTTTCCAGGTCATATTATTTTCAAGTTTTCCTTTTGATTTTGTAATCAGCCACTTGTTAGCCCCAAGTCATAATGCTATCTCAGTCAGCTGTGTTTTTAAACAGATGTTCTTGATTTTTGGGGACATGTTCACTGGAGATAACACTATTTTCACAGCTCGGAGTCCGGTAAGGTAAACACAAGCTCTGAAAATGGAGTTTTACAGTGAATTGCCACAAGAGTTAACAGAAGCAACTGTCTGGGACAGGGCTTTTGAGGGTCTCCCAGATCTGTTCTCTTCCATGCCAGTGAGGCTACTGGTTTTTACAGCTGCTATAGTTGCAAAGCTGATGATTTTCAAGCCTACCACAGTGTTGGGGAGAGAGGAAGATTAGACTTTTTGTTTTCTTTTGCTTATGTAAATTTTATTATGGTATTTCCAGGCAGTTATTTGATGTCGTTATTACTGATATTATTTTTGTTTATCTTAAGATTCATAAAGCTTACTGCTTGATGTCATTTGTCACTTTTGGAACAGTGTTGGCCACTTTCTCTTCAGTTATTGCTTGTACCTAATTCCCTTTATTTTTTTCCATACATGGCTCTAAATAAATATATATTATGCCTTTATATCACATCTCATATTTCTCTTATGCCCCCTCTTTACATTTTCCATTCTTTTCAAGTTGTGTTTTAATCAGAATGTCTTTTCTGATTTTCCAGCTTATTAATTTCTCTTCAGCTGTAACTCATTCATCGAATTCTTAATTGTCAGTTGTATTTTTCAATTTTATAATTTTCACATTTCCTTCAAATTCTCATTTTGTCCTTTTTTTTTCATGGACATGGGCTTTATTGGGTGACTATTGGAGCAAGGGGGGTTCTAAGGCTTGTGGACTGATGTGGGGAGGGGCTTCTCCTTGCATGTTGCCTAGAGGTTAAGATGTGTGAGAACAGCTGCACAAGTGAGAGAGGAAAAGAGAAGGTCACAGAATGGACATTTTCCTTGGGCCAGAAAGAACCAGGATATGGAGGGTGGGGGTGGAGAGGGAGGGTACCCTTCACCTAGGAGACTCCACTGAGGTCACTGTTTGATACCAGCTTCCCTAACTCCCACCTGCCCCATCCCAGTTCATGCCCCGATGCCAGCCCTGTTAGCTCCCTCAACATCCACTGGAGAAGAGGAGGGAGGAGGATATGAGAAATGATACCCTTCTGCCCTCCAGCTCCCCTGCCAGAAGAATTGCTTGCTCTGCCTGCCCAGACTTCCCAGACAGGCTCAGGAGGTCAGGAAGCCTGGACGCAGGCAGGGAAACAATTGTGTCCCTCACCACCCGCTTCACACTCTGCCCCACTCCTAGCCCGGCACATGAGGTTGCAGCTCTTGGCTCGATCCTTATGTATGTCGCCCTCATTCTCTCGGTCTAGCCGTCCTGACAGCTAAGTGGATCGCTGCATTCCCTGGCGTGAGTCAGTTCGGCGCAGCTGCCTATGACCACGGCCAAGGTAGGCCACTGTGGCCACATGGAAGACATCCCTGACGCTGCGCTCAGAGGACCGGGAGGAGCATCCACGTAGGACACAGCCCCCACCTGCTTGGCTAGCACAGTGCCCTGCTCATGTGTGACAGGGATAAGCCTCTGCTTGGACAGCTCCCTCAGTGTGCCCAGGTCAGTCCGCATGTCTAGTTAACAGCCAACCAGCACAACCTTGGCATTGGGGCAAAACTCTTGAGTCTCTCCTTGCCACTTCCTGAGAACACTGTCCAGTGTTTCTGGTCGGCTAATGTCGAAGCAGATGAGCACAGCGTCAGAATCAGGATAGGCCAGAGGCCGGACATTATCATAGTAAGAGGAACCTGAAGTGTCCCACATGTTGCGCTCAATGCGGCACTTGTCGATCTCAAAGCTCTCGGTGTAGTTCTCAAGCACGGTGGGGACATAACTCCCGGGAAAGGCGTCCTTGGCGAACACCTGCAGCAGCGCCGTCTTGCCGCACTCCGCATCTCCCACCACCACGATCTTGCAGCGGCCGCTCTGCCCCTCCACGCCACCCTCCGCCCGGGCTCAGCCGCTGCCTCTACCGCCGCCTCCCCCGCTGCTGCAGCCTCTCGGGCAGCCGACACCGGCATCTCGCCGGCTCGCGCCGAGCCCCGCCCCCCCCAGGACTCAATTTTGTCCTTTAACCACTTGAATATAGCAATCATAATTTTTATAAAATCTGTTTCTGGCATTTTTATTATTTGAATTTCCCATGAGATATCATCTGGATTTCTAAAGTTTTGATCACATCATCTTATATCCTTGTAATTCTGCTTATTTTGAATAAGTTCTAGGCATTATATGTGATAAATAATAGAGAAAATGTGAGGTTCTGGAAGATCTATTCTTCCAGAGAAGACTTAGTTTGTTTTTGGCAGAAAACTAGGTTAGGGGCATTCATAATTCCAGATAACTTCAATTAACTCACATATTCGTACAGATTAAATCTGGGCTTTCATTTATTCTTGTGAAGGTTGATCCATTTCTGGTTTACCCTTATCCTTAGCAATGTCGCCTTTTATTAAAGTTTCCCGTGGAAACTTTGGAGTGTTTGCTAGGTAACCTCCTCTTTGGTGTTGTGTAAATTCCAATTATTCTTCTCTCATACCTATGAGTCTCACTGAGCTCAGTTCACTTTCTCATATATTAATAATACTGTTATCATTAATGAACTATTCTAGTGAAAAAAAACCCAAATGCTTGATTCACTTCTCTGGTCATATCTATTTTTCTTTCTTCCTGCATAGGTGTCCAATATTTTTAAGTAGATGTTTCCTTTTTTATTTTACCCCACTGGTCTTTCCAGTTGTTTTAAGAGAGAAGATTTTTTTTTTCTTTTCTTTTAATATGTAGTTGCAAGAAAATATTCAGATCAAAGTTTTGACAAAGCGCTAACCTTTGATGAAAATCTTGCTTTTAAGTGCGGTTCATTGCTATACCAGATGCCACAGGAACAGATTTACTTATTTGGTGTAGGAACTTCCCACATGACATTTTGAGTGTAACAGGAATTCATTTAAAGGGAAAAGAAAAAAAAAGAGAGAGATAAAGGGAGACTGAAAGAAGGAAGGCAGGCTGGAAGGAAGGAGAGAAATAGAAGAAGAAATTTAAAAAATTGAAACAATAATAATTTTCTGCTTAAAACTGGGCATCTGATAACTTCCATATTTCTAAATTTTCTAAATGGCATATTATTATGAAATAAAATCTCAGTTGTTCTTATTTTATCTCTCCTTAGTATGGCATAAACTCTAGAGAAATTCTGTCCAATAGAACTTTCTGTGATAATGGAATTGACCTATTCTGTGATCTAATGTAGTAACCATAGCCATGTCTTACCACTGAGCAGGTAAAATGTGGTTAGTGTGAATGAAGAATTAAATGGCATTTATTTTAATACATTTATGTCCAAATTTAAATAGCCATGGGTAAGTAGCGATTTTTATGTTAAACAGTGCATCTCCAGTGGACTGTGTCTGCTTTCCTTCTTTTCTCAGTTTCTCCAATCCATTTAAAACTTAAGTTTCTCTGGTGGCAACATCTACTTTTCCCTGTTTAATTTTGACAGAGGGCTTTCTCCATGATTCCAGAACATCATGCTTCACATCAGGCATACACACACTCACATTGTTTGGAGGCTCTTTCACCTCTGGAGTGCCGCAACAAGAGTTAAATGTTAATGGTTTTAACATTTAACATCTCCTCAGGGTGACTTCTTCCACTCTTTTTTTTTTTTTTTTTTTTTTGAGACGGAGTTTCGCTCTTGTTACCCAGGCTGGAGTGCAATGGCGCGATCTCGGCTCACCGCAACCTCCGCCTCCTGGGTTCAGGCAATTCTCCTGCCTCAGCCTCCTGAGTAGCTGGGATTACAGGCACACGCCACCATGCCCAGCTAATTTTTTGTAATTTTTAGTAGAGATGGGGTTTCACCATGTTGACCAGGATGGTCTCGATCTGACGACCTCGTGATCCACCCGCCTCGGCCTCCCAAAGTGCTGGGATTACAGGCTTGAGCCACCGCGCCCGGCCTCTTCCACTCTTTTAACACTAAATACCTTTAGTTAAAATGGTTAAAACCATTAATATTTAACATCTCCTCAGGGTGACTTCTTCCACTTTTTTAACACTAAATACCTTTAGCCTCCCCTATGCAAAAACGTCCAAGTCTTTCTGTTGTGGGTAACAGAAACCCAGCTCACTAAGACCTAAAGCTCTGACTCCTCCCTTTGAGGGAAAAGGAATGGAAAAACCTATCATTTTTGTTTCCCATGCTGAGCTCACAATAGGGAAAAGAACACAATGAATTCCTCAGTCAAACTATCTTGCTATTTGTAGCTTATCATGACAAAAAAGGGAAAACTAGCAAATGAAGGAAATTACGTGTATTCGACATTAGTGCTCCTATTTATAAATGTTGGCAATGTTTTTACTACATTACCAAGCACATGGTAAATGAGAAAAAAAGTTTAGAAATATTCTCTGCAGGCATGAATTTTGCATTTCTGGGAACCAAATGCAAGATAATAACTGTATAATAATTTGTGAATTCTTTTAGCACTCTGGCTTAAACATTTCTATATAAGCAAATTTGAAACATAGGGAGATAGTAACATAAATGGTCATAAAGATTCAATGATGATTACCTTAAAATGTCCTTGTTTCCATGGCAATTTTAGAGTAATTATCTAATCTCCCAGGAAACATATGCATTCTGATTTAGTTACAGAATATTCTGATTATCTGTGTGTGTCTTGTTATAATAAAAACAATCTACCTCTTTTATATGTTAGTAAATACATTCATGTAATTATTACGGCTTACCTTAAACATCTGGCTAAATAACTTTTGTAAATTAACCAAGTAAAATTTATTCTAAAAGCTGTGTATGACTTACAAATTTTAGTAAGAAGGAAAAAGTCAACACTATCCACAGTAATTCTTGTTATTAAAATGACATTGTATTCATGGTGTAAAAATGAATTTTCCCATTTCTGTAAATCAGTTGAAACCAACTGTAATATTGGTTTCAACTGATTTACAGAAATGGAAAAAATCACAAAATTGACTTAGCTACAAACATAAAAAGTAATATGACTTTATCTGTCATAACTGTTCAGGGTGTAGACTAAGTTGAAATATGTGATTTCTTTGCTGTCACAGAGATGATGCCTGATGATATATATATTTAAAACTTCATGACAAGTTTGGAAATAAACATGACACAGTGAGAACGAAAAAATAACATATGAGGTGCTTAATGTCATATGATTTAAAAGAATTTGGAAACCATCATGTGTTAAAATCCAAGACTTTAAAAATATTCCATATGGGTCCTTATCATATATAGATGCATTTTCTGCGATATATTATATAGTAGACATACAGAGCAGAAGACAAAAACAATATTTTCTAATCCTAATTCTGTATCTCATCAGCATAAGACCACAAAATTTTTTTTACTATCTCTTGTCATGGTTTATTTAATTACTAAATTGCATTAATTTCTAACCTGTTCACCTTATAGCCATGTAGTGATGATTAAATGATAAAACTAGAATAGAGGAAATTTATAACACTTTTGACTAGTAGATGATGAGCTACTGAATAGTCAAAGCACATCTGATTTCAAGGAACAAGGTAGGTATTCTAGTTAGGAGATGATTTGGGATAGTGATTACTCATAATAAGGGTACACTTACTATGAATGATCTACTGGGTTCAGAAACTGTGTAAGCCTATATAACTGTATAAAAGTTATAGAGGCTACTTAGTATGAAGATCCAGATGCTATATTTCAGAACATAATTCCTTCCCAACAATATTATGAGTAACACAACATGGAAAGAATAAAAACGCAGTAAAACAATATGCTGCAAGATGTTGCCGGAATGATAGTAATGGAGATGGCTGTGAGAAGTCTTTAGGAATCAGTTAAGGAGAGACAAGCTTGCATGCTTGTAACAGAAAACCCAAAATATCTGCTACACAAAAAGAGTTTCATTTATCTTCCACAAACAGGAAGTCCAGAGGAGGCAGTCCTCAAGCAGTACAGCAGCTCTGTAAGCATTCGGAACCAAGGTTCCTTCCATCTTTGGCACTGCTATCCTTAGTTAGTGACATTGCTTCTCAAGGTTACCACATGGTCCAACATAGCCACAGGCTTTTGTTTCAAGGAGGCTGGGAAAGGATATTCAGAAACTGTTGTATATTTTGCAGTGTTTTATAAATCCAAATTAATTTAAAATGAAAAGTTACAATTTATTTTTAACTACAAAGGAAAGGAGGGGTTCTTAACTGGAGAAATGGGAACCATTTTAATTTGACATATATTATTCTAATGGGGAAAAGAATATACTGAGTTTATAAAGCATTACAGTTATATAAAAAATAGTTATTATTTAATGTGATGGAGAGATTAATGAGAAAATGTATAATTCTGCTCATCTGTGCATTTAGTAGTTGGGGGGACAAAATATTTCATTATTTTCATTAAAATTTTAGTAGAGTGTAGCAGAATAAATGGGTTAGTTTTTAATTTTGTACCTATTCTCTTTTTATCAATAAATTCTATTCTTAAATTTGAGTCCAAACAAAATCTGTGACTTCATAATATTACAAGAAAATGAGAAAACTAACAGCAACATAAATAAAACACAAAATAAAACCTATAAACTCACTAGTCGTAGAAAGTAAGTAGGACACAACTCCTTATGAAAATTGGCACTACGCAGGAAAATAGTAAAGCATTTATTTATTTATTTACTTTTTCCCGTAGGACTTCTTTGTAAGGTAACCAAGTAATTCATATTGATAAGAGAAAGATATTCTTTGTTGTTATTGTTTCCTTATTTCCCGTGGGGTTGGAGAGAAAGCTATTCTTTACAGAATATACCATGCTAATAAATGTAGAAGAAATTACAGAATTATAAAATCATGACATTGTGATTCTTAATAATTTAATAGTCACTATTGCTTAAAATCCTAGAATAAAAAACTGATGGGTGATCTGGTTT